GAAAAAATTTCCAAAAAATTTGGGTCAATTTCAATTATGGCTATTCGAGACGACTGGGGACCATGGATTCTGGCAAACGGGGAGATTACTGTACTGCCGACAGACCCTATAAGAGGCATTGCCAACCCAGTCAGGAAGATACTAAGGCAGCTTATCAAGATGTACACATGCTTGATATGAGTCATGTAGTGATAATAGTAAGAGTGCCCACACAGTGAATCATGATTCCAGATTAACAGTGGCCATGATAAAAGTTTATTATTTAGGAAAAAAGTTTAAACATATTCAGTTTCTGCAATACACTGATAGCAGATCTACTACAACATCAAAGTACTACTGTCACTGCAGATCATCTACTACAAATTAGACAACTGAAAAAAATAATGCAACACCAGAAGAAGTGATCAAGTTGCATTCATGTTTTGGGATATATCTGGTACTAGCTTAAGCACTGCATCACCAGATGATTAATACTCAATCTCAAACACACTCACCTACCTTGCTGACTGATCGAACAGAAGTCATGATTGGGTGGGAATTATGAACAAAAAGCTCCTCATCCCAAGAAGAGGAAAATGAAGTAAATCTACTTTCCTGAGGAGTACTTTTTCTAAAGTCATCAACAATGACCCATATTATTACACCCAACATGGTGTGCATGAATGATATATATTAGTCCACAACTTGTGGCCCATACAAGTATATTCTCATACTCATATAAAAAGTCTATTATTAATAGAACATAAACACGGATGAAATTTTATATTTTGGCATTTTGATATACAGTGGTCCCTCGGTTAACGAGTTACCTTCCATAAGATTCTTAACTTCGGTTAACGAGCAATCCCTCGATTAACGAGTTTCTTACGAGCCGACCTGAACATGTTTTCGCTTGCATTTGGCGGTCAACCAGTTGTAGTATTAGTCCGCCAATACAGTACAGTGACCCCTCGTTTAACGAACGCCTCGGTTAACGATATTTCGGTTAACGAACTGCCTTCCATAAGGATCTTCAATTCGGTTAACGAATTTCTTACGAACCAACCTAAACATGTTTTCGCTTGCACTGACTGGGCAACCAGCTTTAGTATCAGTCCGCCAATACATTAATCGGTTCTAGGGCTTAAATTCCTTACTATTTTAGTAAATATCAAGAAGTTTATACTATTCAATAATTTTAAAAGTTTAATATTCAATTTTTTAGTCATTTTAACAATTATCGAACATAATTGAAGGTAAAGAAACTAGTTTCTGGCGTGCCATCCAGCCTGTTAACACACCAGACAGGTGTTAGTCTCTCTCTCTGTTTTCACTGGAGGTAACATCTTGCTTGAGACTCTCTTCAATTAAACGCTTTTCTTCTGTGTTTCCAAGCAAATTATTGGTCATTTTGAAATTTATTTTACATATTGACAATATATAGAGCAGTGCAGTGTTATTTTAAAGAAAATATTCTTTATTTACAGCTAGTTTAACTTTGAAAAACACGTGTTGACATTGTTTGAATCCAGCATGGGGCCTAAGAGATCAAGAAAATCTATTTCAATCCAAACCAAGCAGGAAATCATAAAAAAACATGAACAAGGCATTAAATCAAATGTGCTTAGCAAAGAATATGGCATGTCGGCATCAACTGTGTCAACAATTCTTGCACAGAAAGACAAATTTAAAGAAGTGAAAGTGAGAGACAAATCTACAAGTGTGTTTAAAAGTAGATCCCTAATGGTAGAAACTGAGAGGTTACTTATCATCTGGATTAGGGAAAAACAGATGAAAGGTGATTCAGTTTCTGGTGATTTCATTTGTGAAAGAGCCAGGGAGATTTATGAACATTTAAAGGCAGATCAACCTGGTTCTTCAGGCACAGAATTTGAACATTTTCGGGCCAGCAAAGGCTGGTTCGAAAAATTTAAGAAAAGAAGTGACATTTTAAGTGTTGTGAGGCATGGTGAAGCTGCTAGTGCTGATAAAGAAGGGGCAGCAAAGTTTTTAGTTGAATTTAAAAAACTGATGGAAGAAGAAAATTATCTTCCACAGCAAGTGTTCAATGTGGACGAAACTGGGCTGTTCTGGAAAAAGATGCCCAAAAGAACATTCATCACCAAAGATGAAGCCTCTTTACCTGGGCATAAACCCATGAAGGACCGTCTCACTCTATTGCTTGGTGCCAATGCTTCAGGGAATTTCCGACTGAAGCCAATGCTTGTCTACCACTCTGAAAACCCCAGGGTGTTCAAGCAACAGAAAGTGGTAAGAACAAAACTTGGAGTTTATTGGAAGTCCAACCGTAAGGCATGGGTGACAAGACAGCTCTTTAATGAATGGGCTGTTGATGTGTTTTGCCCTTCTGCCAAGAGCTACCTAACCACCAATAAACTCCCTTTAAAGGTTCTTCTCCTCATGGATAATGCTCCTGGTCATGACCCTGACCTTGCCAGCAATTTGGAGTATCAATTTGACTTTGTGAAAGTGTTGTTTTTGCATCCAAACACTACATCAATCATACAGCCAATGGACCAGAATGTGATCAGCAACTTCAAGAAGTTGTACATGAAGAAAATGTTTAGGTGTCATCAGGCAACTTCCAATGATCCTGAACTAACACTGAAACAGTTCTGGAAGACACAATTCAACATCCTGGAGGCTGTAAAATTGATTGTGTCATCATGGCAAGAAGTCTCCACTAGATCCCTCAATTCTTCATGGAAAGCACTGTGGCCATCAGTAGTCCATGATTTTGAGGGATTTGAGGAAGAAACAGAGTTGGACAAGGAGATTGTGTCCATTGGTCAGTCATTGGGCCTTGAAGTGGAGGAGGAGGATGTGGAAGAGCTTGTGATGTCTCATGAGGAGGAACTTACTCCTGATGATTTGAAGCAACTGGATGAGATGTTACAGGTAGAGGCTGACAGTGGTGAGGAGGAAATTGAAAGTGATGACCATATGTCAGCTAAACAGTTGAAAGAGGTGATTTACTACTGGGAGAAGTTCAGGGAACTGGCTTCAAAGCACCCAGAAGTGGAAAAAACTGAACTAACTTTGTGTCATGTTGAGGACTCAGTGGTCTCCTTCTTTAAACATAAGTTAATGGTGAGGAGGACAGGTGCCCCACAGACCACAATTGACACTTTCTTCAGAAAAAGGCAGAGGGAACAAGATGCTATCCCTCAGCCTTCCACTTCAAGAAGGAGAGAGGATGTTAATGGTGAAGAATCTGTCAGTCCAGAGGTTCCTGACATTTTCATGGAAGGTGACTCACCTTCCAAGAAGCAGTAAAATGCTTCTCCTCCACCTCCACTTCCTTCTCTTCTCCCTTCTCCTCCTCCATCTCCCTCTTCAAATGCACACCATCATCATCATCCAGGAGCCTTCTACATACACACCTCAAAGTAAGTGAACTTTTCTTCCATTTTTGTTGAATTTAGGAAATTTTCGGTGAGCTGGAACCAATTACCCAAAAACCCATTGAAACAATGGTTTCGGTTAACGAACGACCTTCTGGAACGGATTGAGTTCGTTAACCGAGGGGTCACTGTAATCGGTTCTAGGGCTTAAATTCCTTACTATTTTAGTAAATATCAAGAAGTTTATACTATTCAATAATTTTAAAAGTTTTATATGAAATTTTTTAGTCATTTTAACAATGATTGAACATAATTGAAGGTAAGGAAACTAGTTTTATGCGCGCCATCCAGCCTGTGAACACACCATACAGGCGTCAGTCTTTGTGTCTTTTCAGTGGAGGTAACATCTTGCTTGAGATTCTCTTCAACTAAATGCTTATTTCTGTGTTTGCAAGCAAATTATTGGTCATTTTGAAATTTATTTTACATATTGACAATATATAATGCAGTGCAGTGTTGATTTAAAGAAAATAATCTTGAATTACACCAAGAACGAAAATTTTATGGGTGAAATGGCGCCATGGGGTGACTTCTCTTCCACCCCAATGCCTTCTCTTCTTCCTTCTCCTCCACTCCCATTCTAATTCCCATCATCATGATCATCATCCAGGAGCCTTCTACATACACACCTCAAAGTAAGTGTACTTTTCTACCTTTCTTGTTGAATTTAGGCAATTTTTGGTGAGCTGGAACCAATTACCCAAAAACCCATTGAAACAATGGTTTTGGTTAACGAGCAACCTTCTAGAACGGATTGTGCTCGTTAACCGAGGGACCACTGTACAGGTAAACCAAGAACTTTATTTTTTTTATCTATGGCATTTCCAGTGCTTTAATATGTCAATGTAATTTTTTTCTTTAACATTGGAATTCTTATGTCACATAGAAGAAATTAATTATAGTATGTACACTTGAACTTTGCGACTGAAGTTTGTAGAAAGACAGCCTATTGGCTGGCAGAAACACATGCAAAGTCACTACAGTTCTTTAGTATTTAATCTATTATCATACAGTATTTATATTTTAAAATTTTAAGAAATGTTAATTTTTTGTGCGTTTATCTCTGATCATTTCCACACTTAGGGAAGTAAAAATTAGCATGTGAAATGCACTGGTCATAAAAATAAAAATATCGTAAAGGGTACACAAACATGATGAACAAGTTCAGGGACATAAACTCCCCATCACCAAGTGATGTCAGTCAATGTTAAGGAGGATGTCGCTGGAATACTTTTCTCGTTCTCTTTTTGGTATTTTTATGACCAGTGCATTTCACATGCTAATTTTTGTTTCCCCAATGTGTGAAAATTATCAAAGATCAACACAAAAATGATTATCCCTTAAAATTTCAAAATATAAATATGATAGATTGAATACTAGAGAACTGTAGAGACTCTTTGCATGTGTGTCTGCTACAAACTGACCCTAGGCCTCAGTTGCAAATTGCAAGTGAACAGACTGAAGTTAAAAAATTATTATTTATAATAAATACTGTACAGTATACTGTATTAGCACATTAAACCAATATTTAGTAAAATCATAGTAAGTAAGGACACTCTTTAAAAAGATCACAAAATGCTTTGATTTTTGTGCAGTAATTTTAATTGTACTGCATAAAATATATGCATAATTCCATTCATTCATATCCCTATAAAAAAAATACTAAAATAACTATGATTTTTTTTGTACACTAAAATTATAATTTATTTTAAGGTTAAAATAAATAAATAAATGAATACATAGCAATGCTGACAATGCACAAACACTCACAAGCCCTGGGCATTATGACATTAAACTGGCTATAACACTCCAAGCTGAATAAAATTAAACCCGAAATGAGAATGAAAGGATGACTTAACTATACAGGAATGACACATACTCACATAAAGGGTATTTTTTTTACAGTGTACTGTTTTATGTTAGCGTAAGAGCAGGAAGCCCTGCCAGCACCTTCAAAGTAATACTATAAAACTAACACAGATTACCCTTGATTGCAACCATCGTTTTTTCTTTCTACCTATCTCTAGAATGTGGTACTGAAATATTAGCTGGATCTTGACATGGTGACAAAACTATATTTGAGGTACTGTCCTTGTCACTTACTACAGTGTCTCCTTGCATTGCATTAATTTTAGCATCACCAACAGCTGCTGGTGGCTTACATGTATTAGTTGAATTTACTTCACCAACAGAAGCTTTCCCAGAAGGCTGGACATCACAGAACTTAGTGGATGATATACCATCAGGTGCAGGGGTTGTGGTGGTGATACCTGAGGTCCCACTAGTATCAGAGGAGATAGTAGTAGGCATAGTTGAAGAGGATAAAGAACTGCTTCCACCCTTGACCCTATTATGAGCCAAATGACTCTTGACTAGATGTCCTGCAGCTAGTGCAGACATCAGTGACAACTCTCCAGCCAACACTGTTGCTGCCACAATTTTGGCTAACTGACATGCATTTTCACCTGGGTTATCTTTGTGTGCACCTGAAAAATAGAAAATATGAATTAAATTAATACCTCTTCTTGGTTCTATAACGTTCTTTATATTCCTGTAAGAAGTATTGACTGTATTAATGGGACACCTTGCTAGAAATTTGATAAATAAGTGTACAATTGTATAAAATTATAAGATACAGGTGGTCTCCAAGGTACAACCATCAAACTTACGAAACTCCACACTTACGAACGGGATCCCAATATATTCATCGCAAATTTTTTTAAGTAAAATTAAATTTTTTACATTATTTGTCATGTATGGGATATTATTGTTGTTTTGTAAGGGCAGGGTTGTCATATAACTTAACCTAACCTAATCTAGGGAATTAAAACTTTTCTGTCTTACAAACATATAGACTTACGATTAGGGATGAGGAACGCATCCCTGTCATAAGTCAGAGATTGACTGTACAGTATACTCTAATCTAATAAAGAGGGTCTTCATTATATGTCGGGGATGTGTTCCAGAAAATACAACTTAAAGTGAAATATTTTGTAATGAGGAATTTTTCCCCATAAGAATTACCGGTAATGTAATTTGGAGTATACAGGTAATGACAGTTATACCAATAAATGTGAGGAATAAATAAAAATAATAATACAGTAATTGCAATTTGGCAATCTTGTTACAAAGCACTGAATAACAAAACAGTGAGCCAAGGTCCTCCATGCCGCCTCCCCTTCCCCTGCTATATGTATTAAGTACCACACACATTAGAAATGTTTATTCCTTTATGTTTTTGACCTATGGTAATTTTTTTCTTTTTTGCACATTCTGTATGAATGATTGTGTCTGTAATGTTTATTCTCTTGATAATTTTTACCTTATTTCTTTTCTTCTTTTTGTCCACATTATATAATATGTAGGATGGGGTGTGCACGTAACGGAGTAAAAAAGATGAAGAAAGTTACATATATCTACCCGAAATTACGAGTCGAAAAATAACCATAACACCTTACTGCTCCGACTAATAGTGAGATGTGGCTACAGTGATGAGTTGGCAACAATGCTGCAAATGAAAGGGATATTATCTATAAATATTCATTTGTATCAGTTATTTGTAGATTTAAAGTAGCGTATGTAGTAAATGAAGTTCTGCTCCTCATGCAACAACATAAAGAAAGAACCTAGGAGTAAGGTATGTAAGCCCGGGATGAAGGAGCTTACCACAACCATGTGCAGCTATCGTTTACCGAAAATATATAAATTTTAACCCCTCAAAAATTCTATGTGTATACAGTTTGACCCCTTACCCTTTTCATAAAAATTTTATAATTAAAAATCAAACTGTACTCGAGTATATACAGTACAGTAATACCCCGCTTAACGCGGTTTCGTTTAGCGCGATTTCACGTATACGCGGTGCCTCGCCAGAGCCGAACTTTCACTTAACACGGGTTTTTTCCACGTATACGCGCAGAGTGTCCGGCTCGAGACGCTATTTTTAGATTCGCCCCACGCGCCACCCGCCTGCCTGCCTGCCTGCCTGTTTTAGCTCATAAAATTCATACAAATTACCCGGCCAGAATATAATTTACATTGCTGGAATTCTTACAATATGATGATCATTTTGAATATAAACATCATAGATTTTGCATTAGACATACAAATTTTAGATATAATGTTTACTTTGAGAAAATATGTTATTTTTTGTGCAAAATATATGACATTTGTATTCAAAATATTCCTGGTCTTACAAGGAATCCAGCAATGTCAATTATATTATCCTAACTTTAGTTTGAGGTATTATTTATTACTAAAAAGGTAAATATTCTGGTTTTCCCACACATCTGGTAGGGAGGGACCGACCGACCATCTGTTACGTGTGAAGAATATTTTTTTTTTTTTATTAACTGAAGATATTTGTTTTAGCTCATAAAATTCATACAAATTACCCGGTCAGAATATAATTTACATTGCTGGAATTCTTACAATTTGATGATCATTTTGAATATAAACATCATAGATTTTGCATTAGACATACAAATTTTAGATGTAATGTTTACTCTGAGTAAATATGTTATCTTTTGTGCAAAATATATGACATTTATATTCAAAATATTCCTGGTCTTACAAGGAATCCAGCAATGTCAATTATATTATCCTAACTTTAGTTTGAGGTATTATTTATTAAAATTTAGTGGTTTTCCCCAAAATTTCTCAGAGAGGGAAGAGCCAGCGAGTGTAGTGTGAGAAGAGGGGGAGGGAGTTGAGTCCATTATTTGAATGGACATTAACTTGGCGACTGTATTTCTCTATTTCTCTTAAGTATTAATTGTGTGCATGTACCATCATAAAATTAAGATGTTATTTTTACTAGAACATAGGTATTGTGTCGGAAAAAGTAGAGTTTGGGGGTCCGGCCAGTCTCTATTGGAATTAATCCCATATGTTCTGTTGTTCACTTAACACGGTACCCTGTGGGTTCAATTGACCGCGTTAAGTGGGGTACTACTGTATACTGTACACATCCACTTTATCTCACACAACACAAGGTCATCCATGCCATATATGAGGTCTGTCCAAAAAGAAACCAAACTTTTTAAATAGCGCGCCAATGAGCCGGCGCAGCGTGCTCGCGACAGGAGCACTGTGTAGCGGTGACCTTGACCTTTAGTCTAACACTAGCCGCATCACACCACGTCAATTAGTCATCGAGCTACACGTGCTAGAGTGAAAGTGTGCTTAGTGCACTTGGCGATTTGTTGCAAGTTGAACAATGAAGCATCTTGAAGAGCAATGTGTTTGCGTGAAATTGTTTCAAACTAGGAAAAACTTTTAAGGAGAATTTTCAAATGTTGCAACAGGCTTATGGGGAGGATTGCTTGAGCCGTACACAATGTCACGTGTGGTATCAATGTTTCAAAAGGGGAAGAACACCCACCGAAGACGATCCCAAATCTGGACGTCAGTCGGTCAAATGTGGAGGTGATGTTGATCATCTTTTTTGATTGGAAGGGCGTCGTTCATCATGAGTTTGTTCCACGTGGTCAGACAGTCAATAAAGAGTTTTACTTGGAGGTCCTGAAGCATTTGAGGGAGGCAGTGGGAAGGAAGAGGCCTGAGGCGTGGACAAACAAGACCTGGATGCTGCACCATGACAATGCACCTGCTCACACGTCGCTTCTTATCAGTGACTTTTTTGGCGAAGCACGAGGCGACTATCGTCCCCCAGCCGCCCTACTCTCTGGATTTGTCCCCTGCGGACTTTTTTTCCCCCAAAGTTGAAATCCACCCTGAAAGGTCGCCGATTTCAGACGATAGAAGAGAGAGAAGAAAATTCGCTATGAGACCTGCACACCATCCCTCAAAACACGTTCCAGAACTGGAAAAAAAACGTTGGGAGCGGTGCATCAACAGTGGAGGGGAGTACTTTGAAGGAGACAAGTCTGATTAATATGTAAGTAACCCAAGAATTTTTTTTTTTTTAAGTTTGGTTTCTTTTTGGACAGACCTCGTAGACATGTATGTCAGGACTCGGGAACCTTCAAAAGTCTTTGCGACTCTAAAAACTTTTATCTAGAGTGTTACCTATGTCTATTAACACTTTAAATAAAAAACAAGTGAATTTCCTTAAAGTATATCAAAAGTATGTATGACTATTTTGCTTGAACTATTTAAAGTAAACCCTTGATAACTCGGAATATGTGGGACTCTATCAAGGCTTTAAAAAAAAAAAAAAAAAACATTCTGAAAACCAAAAAATTCCAAAATGCCTCTGACCCCAAGGATTTCGGATAAGGGATTATCAACCTGTATTATTGATTGACATTATACAAGGTGCATTTATAAACATTATTTAAAGAATATACTTTGCATTTTTCGTAAATTTTATTGTTTGGAGGGAAAAGAGAGTAAAAAGCCACACAAAAGTTATGCAGTCACACTAAGGCACACATCTCATTATTATTGATTTACTTTAATGGTAATTAATGATTCACGATATATAAGAAGTCTTAAATAGGCCGATTGGCCTGTGCATGGCAGCTCCTGTCGAGAGTTACTACCACTCTCTATCATCCATGAATCTATCTAGTCTCCTTTTAAAACTTTCCAACATCACAGCACTTACTACAAAGTTGCTAAGCTTGTTCCACTCGTCTACCACCCTATTTGTGAACCAGTTTCTTCCTATCTCCCTCCTAAACCTAAACTTATCCAACTTAAATCCATTGCTACGAGTACTATCCTGCTCGGATATTATAAGAACTTTATCTATATCTCCTTTATTGATTCCTTTCACCCACTTAAATACAGTACAGTGGTCCCTCGTTTAACGAGCGGTTCGATTAATGAAATTTCGGTTAACGAATTAGGTCCCATAAGGATTTTCAGTTTGAATAACGAACAAAACTTCGATTAACGAAATCCTTACGACAAAGACGTTTTGTTGTGCGCATCAGCTGATCAGCTAGTTTGCCAATACAGTACTAATTGGTTCTATGTTTACATTCGTTTCCAATGAAGTAAATATCAAGAAAGTTGGTCTCTTGAATATTTTTGCATTTTTTATATTAAAATTATTGGTCAATCTGAAATTTAGGAAATATTGATAATATAGACAGTACAGGGAACAGTTTTTGTGTGCCCATCAGCTGATTGAATCACCCAACAACGCTTCTCAGTTTAACTTTGTTTAAAGTGGAGTGAACATCGATTTTGTTGGTCTCTTGAATATTTTTGCAATTTTACATTAAAATTATTGGTCACCTCAAAGTAAGTTAAAATACAGTATTCTATTGTTTTTTATTTATTATTGTACAGCATACTGTACAGTACTGTACTTCTATCATCTCCCCGCACTCTTCGTCTTTCTAGGGAATGCAAGTTTAGTTTCTTTAATCTATCTTGATATGGAAGGTTTCTAAGTCCCGGAATCATTTTCGTCATTCTTCGCTGCACCGACTCCAGTGAATTGATATCCATTCTATAATAAGGCCTTATTTCGAACATTAACGCACTGTTTTCTAGGCCGAAGGTCCTGGCTTCTGAGTACCCCTAAGTCTCTTTCACAAATCGACTTCTCTAGGTTGATGTTGTTAAGGCTGCATACATTTACAGTATTTGATCTTTCAATATTAAGTACGCTGCACTTGCTGGTGTTGAATATCATTTGTCATTTTTCTGACAACTCCCGCAATTTATTTAAATCCTCCTGTAGTGAATTTGCATCCTGCGCTGAATTAATCTGCCGCCATATTTTGGTGTCATCCGCAAGCTTGCTTATGTCACTGCTGATCGTTTATGTAGATTATGAACAAGAGTGGGACCAGTACTGATCCCTGGGGGGCCCCACTAGTTACACAGCCCCACTCAGATTTAAAACCATCTATGCTGACCCTCTGAGTTCTATCGGTGCGCCACGATTTTATCCAATTTAAAACTTTCCCCTCGATACCATGAGCCTTAACTTTTCCCAGAAGCCTCTGATGCAGTACTCTGTCAAATGCTTTGCTAAAGTCTAAGTAAATAACATCGTAATTTTCGTCATTGTCTACTACCTCATAAACTTTCGCCTTACACTGCAATATTGGAGGACACATTACCATCATTATTCGAGGCTTTACTCTATCTTTATATAATTTAGCTTAATATAATTCTCATCAGGAACGGTAATCCAAACAATTATGAATAAAGTTATTTAGAAATACAGTACGCCTGGATAATTCGCAGATTTTTATTTCGCAGATTTTTATTTCGCAGATGACACCCTGGATGTACCCAAGAATGTCTAAGGGTAGTTTTACAGTTGCTGGCATTTTTGTGGCCAGGACAGGGAACCATTCATTCTAGGGACAGTAATTTATTTTACCTGTATTGTATATATGTGTGTGTGTGTGTGTACACACACACAAAAAAAACACATACAAATAAATAATAATGGGAAAATCCTCCCACAAATAATCTGAAAAAAATTATTAAAAATGTTAAGTCTACCCTCAAGTCCACTACGTGCTTTGTTATTATTAGAGCACGAAGTAGACTTGAGGGTACTCAACATTTCTAATAATTTGTTTCTGATTATTTGTGGGTGGATTTTCCCATTATTTATTTGTATGTGCTTCATGTGTGTGTGTGTGTCTACACACACACACATACAGGTACAGTATTACCCCGCCTAACGCGGTTTCACTTAACGCGTTTTATCATATACGCGGTGCCTCGCCAGAGCTGAAATTTCACTTAACGCGGAATTTTTCATCATATACGCGGGAAGCGGCGCGGGCACGATGCGCACAAGGTCGCCCAGTCATCAAAACATTACCAAGTTCTTCACCCGCCACCCACCACAGCCGGCCCAAGTCAGTGATAGTGATAATTATAGTGAGGATATGGACTTATATGGCCTTTGAGGGGTTTGACAAAGAGGCCCTGCAAGCCTCTGTGGTGGATAGTGATACAATTGATACAAGTGATACAGGTGAGGGCCAATAATCTGCCCTCTGCCTCGGAACCAACCCCCCATCCCCGTGTGCCCAGCCATCTTTTCTACTAATGCAAGTGTTAAAAAACCTAATATTATTGATATTTCTCTTAATTATTAATTGTGTGTGCATACCATCATAAAGTTAAGATAAAATTTTTACTACAACATAGTTGTGTGTCGTCAAAAAGTGGAGTTTGGGGGTCGGGCCAGTCTCTATTGGAATTAATCCCATATGTTCTGTTGTTCACTTAACGCGGTTTTCACTTAACGCGGTACCCTGTGGGTTCAATTGACCGCGTTAAGCGGGGTACTACTGTATATATGATACAGGTAAAAGAAATAATTGCCATAAAGGTAAACACATAAAGGGAATATACATTTCTTTGTAAACAAGTCAAAATGTACCCCCCCCCCCCCATGCAGTCGTCTGAGAGGTGACTTTAGTGTTTTGTGTGATAGATACTTATCACTTATAGTGCACTTTTAATACTTATTATAGTTAATTTTACATTATATTATATGTTTTTAACACTATTTATACATCATATTTGGATACACACAGACTTATTATAAAACAGAGGATGATGCAGATGACGTATATGTGAAATGATATACAGTATTACCCTGCGTGTAGCTTTACACGGTTTCACTTTCCACGATTTCTCATTTACGCGGTACCTTGCCAGAACGCCAGAACCCAAACCGGACTTTCACTTTCCGCGGTGCATCTACCGGTACTCATATATAAGTATAATTTTTTTTTTTATTCTTTTTTTATTTAGCTCATAAAATTCATACAAATTACCCTGCCAGAATATAATTTACATTGCTGGAATTCTTACAATATGATGATCATTTTGAATATAAACATCATGGATTTTGCATTAGACATACAAATTTGAGATCTAATGTAATAATTTGGTTTACACAAAGCAAATATTTTATCTTTTGTGTAAAATATATGAAGTTTACATTCAAAATATTCCCTGACCTGCAAGGAATCCAGAAATGTCAATTATATTATCCTAACTTTAGTCTGAGGTATTATTTATTACTAAAAGTTAAAATCTAGTTTTTTCACCCAAACATTTCTCTGGTAGGGAAGGAAGGTGGGGGGTGGGGGGGGAGAGTTGGGACCGACTGACCCAGCTGGCGTGAGTGTGAGGAGGGGGGGAGGCAAGGTGGGGTACTTTGATTGACAGTGTCGTGAAGAATATTTTTTTTTTTATTACCTGAAGATATTTGTTTTGGCTCATAAAATTCATACAAATTACCCTGCCAGAATATAATTTACATTGCTGGAATTTTTACAATATAATGATCTTTTTGAATATAAACATCATGGATTTTGCATTAGACATACAAATTTTAGATCTAATGTAATAATTTCGTTTACACAAAGCAAATATTTTATCTTTTGTGCAAAATATATGAAGTTTACATTCAAAATAATCCCTGACCTGCAAGGAATCCAGAAATGTCAATTATATTATCCTAACTTTAGTCTGAGGTATTATTTATTACTAAACAATGGGGGACCGGTGGTAGATGCGGTACCGTTCTTGCCTCGCAAGCGAGATGTCACGGGTTCGATTCCCGGGCCGGTGGAAGTTGTTTGGACTTACTTCCTAGCCCCCATTAGTCCCTGTTCACCTAGCAGTAAAGTAGGTACCTGGTGTAAATCGAAAATTGCGAATTCGTATTCAGGGAAAGTTGATGGAGCTTCCAATAACTTCATGACAAAAAAAAACCACCGACTCTTCAGGCTTCTACGCCCTCGACTCTTCAGGCTTCTACGCCCTTAACTCGTGAGACATAAAGGCAAGCATGAACTTAGCATGCTTCCCTGTTGGGCGCTGTAAACGCTTCTGCGCTTCACCTTACACAAGGATGTAAGGGGGTGCCCAATAAATAATAATAAAAAAAAAAAAAAAAAATTACTAAACGTTCAAATCTAGTGGTTTCACCCAAACATTTCTCAGAGAGGTAGGGCTAGTGAGCTGGGAAGAGAGGGGGGTATTTGAGTCCATTATTTGAATGGACATTAACCTGGCGACTGTATTTCTCTAAATATTAATTGTGTGAGCATACCATCAAAAAATTTAGATGTTATTTTTACTACAACATAGGTATTGTGTCGAAAAGTGGAGTTTGGGGGTCGGGCCAGTCTCTATTGGAATTAATCCCATATCTTCTGTTGTTCACTTTACACGGTTTTCATTTTCCACGGTACCATGTGGGTTCAAATCAGGGTACTACTATATAATGAAAATTCCTACCAATATTTGTTCACTACGTATAAGTGAAATGACGAATGTCCGTACCACATATAACAAGGACCCTCTGTGTACAGTATTAAGGAGAATTTAAATTACCAACAATAACAAATATACAGTACTTCTAAGAAGCTATTAACATCTATAGTCAAGCTTAAATGATCTTTCAACAATCTATAATATAGAACAGATTCAATCTTTACTGCAAAAGTGAATGTAAAACCTCAAGCAACTATGACACTGACCTTTGACACCAAGCATTGTGAGACAAGCAGACTGTGGTGCAAGTCCAGTGCCTCCACCTACTGTTCCCACCTCCAGAGAAGGCATGGTGACTGATATGTGAAGATCATCCCCTTTCTCACCCCAAGCCTCCATCAGGGTCATGCAGTTGCTGCTCCCAACTACCTGAGCTGGATCCTAAAGGAGAGGAATTTCAAAATAATGTACTGCATCTGACAAAGATGCCATCCTGGACTTACTCTCAGTAGAGACATGATATAGATATTTAATCATCTTCCTGAAAAATGCATAACTTTTTGCTTTGATAAACATTAACTACACATCAGATGCAGTCACATCACCAAATATGGGAATTTCAAACTAATTTACGTGTTTTTGTATCAATAAAAAAATCTTGAAAATTCCAGCAAATACCAACAAAGGTAAAGCAAGAAGTATTTTTTATCAAAAGTGTTACATCATCAAGACTTCACAACACTTCACTCTCAGAATATGAAGTCTAATTAAAAAGGCATCCCTAAAAGAACCTCAGTAAGAGTAAAAGAAGCAAGTACCATAAGCAAAGAGTAACCACAAGGAATAAACAGATAAATTGCTGAGAATAAACACCTATCCACGCATAAAATAAATACTCGAAACTAATAAGAGAAGACAGTAAAGTGATCCATAACTTATTAACAAATTGGACTACATCTTTCTGTTATCATTTTATACTCACGTAATGATATTCAATTAATTAGTCATTTGTCACATCCCAAAGATGTGGATATCGACAAGTAAACATTTCTTAAGATATTAAAAAATGTAAGTACCCGGTACAGAAATTTTGCCTATAACTTTTGGGCCACCCCTTGAAAAACACTGGTAGAGCTGTACTTTAACTTGTTATTGGTGGATTATTTCCATCCACATGATGGAGCTGTACTTTAACCTGTTATTGATGGATTATTTCCATCCACATGATGGAGCTGTAGTTTAACCTGTTATTGATGGATTATTTCAATCCACAACCAACTATCTAAATGAGTGAGCAGGTTTATATACAGTGGTCCCTCGGTTAACGAACTCAATTCGTTCCAGAGGGTCGTTCGTTAACCGAAATCATTGTTTCAATGGGATGTTGGGTAATTGGTTCCAGCTCACAGAAAAGTATATACACAGTAAAGCCAAAAATGCAGAAACTCCTAAAATTCCCCTAATTCGCCCTTAAATCACTATATATATCGTACATATACACTTTTACTCTTAAATCACTACTGTAATGTGATACAGGTGATTAATTTTATCTCTTGTGCAAAATATATGACATTTATATTCAAATTATTCGCTGTCTTGCAACAATTCCACCAATGCAAATTATATTCTCCTAACTTTAGTCTGAGATATTATATAAGATAAACACTTTAAAGCCTAACGAAAACACAAAACTTTTGTCTGGGTAGGGAGGGAGGGAGGGAGGGAGGGAGGGAGGGAGCGAGCAAGCAGCGAGCGAGGGAAGAGGGGGGGAGCGGCAGGTGAGGTGTATTTTGATTGACAGATAGTGCGTCTGGTGAAGTATAATTTGTTTATTTACTTGAGTTTGTTATTAGCTCATAAAATTCATAGAAATTACCAGGGCAGAATATAATTTACATTGCTGGAATTCTTATATGATAGCAATTAATTTAAATATAAACAAGCTATAATTTGGATTAGACATACAAATTTTAGATCTTATTTAAGAATTTTATTAGAGAGAGCAAAATTTTATCTTTTGTGCAAAATATATGACGTTTATATTAAAATCATTCGCTGTCTTGCAGGGATTCCAGCAATACAAATTATATTCTCCTAACTTTAGTTTGAGACACTATATATGATTAAAACTGTAAACCTAGTGCTTTTCCCCAAACAATTTCTCGGGAAGGTGGGATGGAGGGAGGGAGCCAGCGAGCGTGGGAAGGGGTGGCGGAAGTTGAGTTGTACTTTGACAGTTAGGGGGAAGGTTTGGTAAAGTATTTAATTTACTTAATGTTGTTGCTCAAAAAATTGTATAGTATAAATAACCCGCCAGAATATAATTTACATTGCTGAATTCTTATAAGATAGTGATTAATTTGAATATAAACAAGCTATAATTTGCATTAGACATACAAATTTTAGATCTAATTTAAGAATTTTATTAGAGAGAGCAAAATTTTTATCTTTTGTGCAAAATATATGATGTTTATATTCAAATTATTCGCTGTCTTGCAACGATTCCAGCAATGCAAATTATATTCTCCTAACTTTAGTCTGAGATATTATATATGATTAAAACTGTAAGCCTAGTGCTTTTCCCCAAACGTTTCTCAGGAAGGTGGGGGGTAGGGAGGGAGGGAGGCAGGGGTGACAGTGACATGTTTGACAGTTGGCGCCTGTGGTGTGAAGTATTTAATTGTTAATTTATGTCCTTTAGATTGAGTTTTTGTTTTTTGCTTATAAAATTTAATAGAAGTAACCGGGGTGAATTTAATTTGTATTGCTGGAATTCTTATAAGATTAATTTGAATGTAAACATGCCATAGTTTGCACTAGACAAAAATTTTAGTAATCATTTTGTACATTATTCTGATTACATGTACAATTCAGCTTTGCCCTTAGGACAGCGTGTGCATGTAAATGAGTTTTAATAAATGAATAAAGTTACATATATGAGCCAAAAATAGTTGAAAAACTTTATGTAGACAGAGCTTGGATGGCTAATTTTAGAATGACCAATAATTTTAATACTGTATAAAAAAATGCACAAATAATAAAGAGCAAAATTTTCTTGATATTTACTCCAATGGAAATGAATGTAAACATAGAAGAGATTACTGAATTTGCTGAGTACCCCCTCAGCTTATCAGCTGATGTTCAAAACAAAACGTGATTTTCGTAAGGATTTCGTTAATCAATTTTTTTTTTCGTTAACCGAATTGAAGATTCTTTTGGAAGGTAATTCGTTAACCGAGGTGTTCGTTAACCGAGGGACCACTGTATATAAAAGTGATATCCCCATTAGCTAGAACAATTGGTGCAGAGCACTTCCGGGGTTGAGCGATTTCTAGCTAACCAGACAACTTTCTCAAACCCAGAAAAATTCCTTATCCACGGAATCTTTTCCGGTTACTGGGAAAAGTTTCTGGGTGTCTAAACTAGACGCCTTGCACACACAGACACTAGCCCACTTCCCCAGAATGTTTCTGGGTGCTGAAGATGTTTTCCGTGAGTCTAAACTACCAGAGTCCATAAATGCAGTTCTAATTAAGTTAGAAATTCCATTTCTTTACAACAATAATCCAGAAGAGTCAGTTAAAGCAGGACGTTTATCATCGACAAGTACATAGATTTCTGGGTCATTTTCATCAAACCAGTCCTGGTGCATTCTTTCCACCTGGCCGAGGGTCTCTGGAGGTTTTGTCATGACAGTGGCAAGAATATCCCATTCGGCACTGGGATTTGGGTTGTTTGTAGTCGAATTGTTTATCAGCTTTCTGAAAGCACATGCTACCGCAGGATCCTCCAGGCACTCGGTGTTAAAACCTCTTCTGGAAGCTTGCTGCCTTTGCCATTTTGGAGGGATGTGAAGCGAGAGCTTGGCTCTGATGAGCTGATGATCAGTGTCATAGTAGTCTGAGCCACACATGGCTTGGGTGATGAGGACATCTCGGCGATCTCTTTCTCTGACAATGAGATGCTAGTGTTTGGATCGTGGGTGTTACCATGGACCCTTGAACTTGTCGGCTTGCCTAAACAAGATATTGGCGATAGTGAGGTTGTGTGCAGCACACTTACTGAGGAGTAGGCCATTGGGATTACAATTGCCTAGTCCATTTCTCCCTGTGATTCTCTGCCAAATGTCAGCATCTCTGCCAACTCTAGCATTGAAATCACCTAGGAGCACAACAATGTCTTCTCTGGGGATAGAGGTTAGCACTCTGTCAAGGTTGGAGTAAAAGGCCTCCTTGATGTCATCCTCTGCATCCAGTATTGGGGCATATGCACTGATGAAAAAGCATGAAGTGAGTGATTCAGTGGGACTCGGAGCACCATGAGGAGCTCGTTGATCCAAAAAGGCATTTCAGTTAGCCTGTGTAGGATGCATTGGCGGATGGCAAAGCCAACTCCATAAATGCGGTTTCTCTCCGCAGCAGGCTTACCTTCCAGAAGAAGGTATAGCCAGACCCCCGTTCTGTGAGTCGACCCTTGTCTAGGAGTCAGGACTTACTAATGGCTGCTATGTTGATGTTTTACCTACCCAGCTCTTTTGCCACAAGGGCGGTTCTTCTTTCAGAACGCTAATTTGTGCCAGTATCCAGAAGGGTCCTGACATTCCATGCAGTGACCATAAGAGGTTGTGTGGTTTGTTTTTGTTTGGATCTGTGATTTTGACTGTGTTTTCGACTGCATTAGGATGACCTTACTTGGTGCAGTTGCCCAGTCAGGTTGGTTCTTTAGGCAAGCTATGTATAGAGCACCTTTTCTAGCCCCCTCCCCATGTAGGGTGAGCAGAGTGGCTCCTCGAAAGGGCTCCTCAGTCCCACAGACAGGACCAGATTGCACTCCTGCCTAGATCCCAATGCATAAATTACCATCTTATTTGTGCCGCTCCATGTGCAGAGTTGTGACTGGAGACTGCCGGCAGTCATCCATGCCTGTCCCCATCGCCACTCGTCCGTCGCCATAGGACTTTTAGCAATACAGTGTTGGAGTTTTGATGATGAGAAATATGACGAGCTGGATGATGGCTGCGTGCGAGTTGATTTAGGTGGTGAGGTGGGAGCACAGGCTGTAACCACTCATCTTGACTCTCCCCTTTCCTGATCCAGTGATGCATGTGTTGCAACAATTTGGGAGAGGACAAATTGCAATGGATTGCAGATAGCCCAGTCTTCTGGATTTTGCCTTGGTAGTCTATCCATCATGTATTGCCTTCATCCACCAGTGTAGTCATTGGGTTCCCAGGTCTGTCACCTCAGGTGAGGGGACAGAATGTCTGGCATTTGTTTGTTTGTTTATTTATTTGAGATAAAATTTGACAGTTGGCGCTGAAGGCCTGCGTGTTTATTTATCATTACTTAAGAGTGACTCAGCTCTTCTCATAATTTGCCACCCAAACGACCTGGGTGAATATAACTTACATTGGAGGGATTCTTGTAAGATAGTAATTTATTTGAATACCTGTCTAAAAAAGCTATATTCGCAATAGACATAACAATTTTAGTACTGTAATCATTTAGTACATGTACGATACAGGTTTCCACTTAGGTCCATTGTTACTGTACAATATTGACTAAATTCACTAGATAACGTACGCCTGGCAACACAATCTATAAGAATACGCGATGCATACGTGACTGTGCCCGCTCTAGGGCCATTTAGGTTCGCTAGGTCCCATTATCTTTATGTTTTTTTTCTTCAATTAAAATTCTAATTGTTTATTCCTTGATAGAGGAAGCGGGATCCTAGTGCTGTCACTTGGTACCCCTGTACCATAACACCAGAAGCAACTGGCCAGTGTCACAAGTATATACAGTACAGTACAGTCATCCCTTGGTTATCGCGCCTAATTGGGACCCCGCCGATAACGAAAGTACAGAACCTATGGGATTTATTCTAATTGGTTCCAGGCACCCAAGACCCAACCCCAAGTTTCCCATTTTACGACCATTTATACCCACTAAATATAAATATAATGTTATGGTAAATATCATAAACACACAGGCATGGCTAGGTTTATTACAGTGATGAAAAGGGTACGCTTAATACTGTAGTCCACAAAACATGTAGCTATGCTTTTTTTTATTTGGTCCCCATCATACGAGTCCGTTTTCTCTCACATCAGGACGCCCGAGTCTTCTGTTTTCTCTCTTAATCTTAGAGTGCATCAGAGACTCAGTTATTTTTAGTTATGCTACAGAATTTGAAATTGCAACCCCAATTGCAACTGGGGTTGCAATTGTTGAGGAAACTAGATATGTCTGATTACAGCAAATGTGTTATTGTCAATTTGTAGGTGAAAGATTTTATCCTCAATAGATGTAGGTTAACATTACACCTGCAGGCAAATGTTTAAAAAAAGCCTAATCAAGGAAGCATATTCCTTTAACACATAATATCTGACCAGTATGGGGAGAATCATCGTGTCTCCGTCAGGGGGTCGTGGAGTGGTGGTCCAGCAAGCGTCACAGATTTTTTTTGGGGTGGGCACGGACGTATATGCGATCGGACGTTAACCGGCTCATGACTGTATATATATATATACACACAGTGATCCCTCGGTTAACGAGATTTCGGTTAACGATTTACCTTCCATAAGATTCTTAACTTCGGTTAACGAGCAATCCCGCAATTAACGAGTTTTTTACGAGCCGACTTCATCAATGTTTTGGCTTGCATTTGGCGGTCCACCAGCTGTAGTATTAGTCCGCCAATACAGTAATCGGTTTTAGGGCTTAAATTCCTTACTATTTTAGTAAATATCAAGAAGTTTATACTATTCAATAATTTTAAAAGTTTAATATTAACTTTTTTAGTCATTTTAACAATTATTGAACATAATTGAAGGTAAAGAAACTAGTTTCTGGCGTGCCATCCAGCCTGTTAACACACCAGACAGGCGTTAGTCTCTCTCTGTTTTCAGTGGAGGTAACATCTTGCTTGAGACTCTCTTCAACTAAATGCTTTTTTTCTGTGTTTCCAAGCAAATTATTGGTCATTTTGAAATTTATTTTACATATTGACAATATATAGTGCAGTGTTGATTTAAAGAAAATAATCTTGAATTACACCAAGAGAACTAAAATTTTATGGGTGAAATGGTGCCATGGGGTGACTTCTCTTTCACCCCAATGCCTCCTCTTCTCCCTTCTCCTCCACTCCCATTCTAATTCCCATCATCATCATCATCATCCAGGAGCCTTCTACATACACACCTCAAAGTAAGTGTACTTTTCTACCTTTTTTGTTGAATTTAGACAATTTTCGGTGAGCTGGAACCAATTACCCAAAAACCCATTGAAACAATGGTTTTGGTTAACGAGTTTTTCGGTTAACGAGCAACCTGCTGGAACGGATTGTGCTCGTTAACCGAGGGACCACTGTGTATGTATGTGTATACAGTGGGCTATGCTATAACGAACGTAATTGGTTCCAGAACCTCGTTCGTTATAGCATTCGTTCGTTATATGATTAATCCGTTCCAGGCCCCCAAATACAACCGCTTAACACTGAAAAAATTCTGTGGAAAATGTAAAAAATACGGTACTTTATCTTACGTTAGTGTTATTCAGCATGCAGGTACCCCTAAACACTGGCACATCACTATCACTTCCACTGGGAGTCTTGGCTTTAAGGTCCTCAAACAATTGTTTAGCCTTCTCACAAATTATAGCTTCACTAATGTTACCACCTGCCATTTCTTTCTCCTTTATCCACACTAAGAGTAAATTTTCCATCTCTTCGATCACATTACACCTTGCTTTGTTAAGTCTAAAGATTCCCTTAGCCACTTGCACAGTTTTTAACTCCTCTTTATTCTTCAAAATCGCACATATAGTCGATTTAGCCATCCCATATTCATCACTAAGTTTCGCAATGTTTCTTCCATTCTCACGTTTCTTTATAATTTCTTTCTTAGTTTGAAGGGTTATTAGCTTTCTCACTCGCTTTGGACGACTCATTGTTACAATTGTATACTTGTATAACAAAATAGTTATACAAATAACGCGAATTTCCACATCAAAAGACGAAATTTCAACAATAACAGTGGTGCACTGGCTACACAATGAGACAAAGATGGCGCCTGACGCTCTTGTTGTGTGTCGCGGTACAACAATATTCATGCGCCAGGCGAAATAGTCCCATATTCATCTGCGTTCGTTGTAGGAGTTGCGTTCGTTATAGCATTCTCAATTTTATAGGTAAAACCGTTCGTTGTAGGAGTAGCGTTCGTTATAGCATTCTCAATTTTATAGGTAAAACCGTTCGTTATAGGAATATTCGTAGTAGGATCCGTTCGTTATAGCATACCCCACTGTGTGTGTGTGTGTGTATATATATATATATATATATATATATATATATATATATATATATATATATATATATATATATATATATATATATATATATATATATATATATATATATATATATATATATATATATATATATATATATATATATATATATATATATATATATATATATATATATATATATATATATATCTTGATAAAATCACACGGTTAACGAACGCCTCTGTTAACGAAATTTCGGTGAATGAATTACCTTCCATAAGAATATTCAATCCGGTTAACGAAAAAAATTCGGTTAACGAATTCCTTACGAATTCTTCTCAACATGTTTTCGCCTGCTCACCAGCTGGAAAATTAGTCCGCCAATACAGTAATCGGTTCTAGGGCTTAAATTCGTTCCCATTTGAGTAAATATCAAGAAAGTTGTACTATTCAATAATTTTAAAAGTTTTATATTAAAATTTTTAGTCATTTTAACAATTATTGAACATAATTGAAGTACAGGAAACTAGTTTTTAGCACGCCAAACAGCCAAGAGAGCCACAAGCAGGATGTTACCTCCACCAACCAGAGATACAAACTGACGCCTTGGTGGGTGAGTCAAGTGAGAGTTCTCGTGGTGCTGAGAAGAAAAAGACACCCATTTTAGATTTTCTATGTATTATTTTCGCATTTTTGACTTACGACCTGGTCGTCGGTCCCTAACCCCGTCATAAGTCGAGAATTGACTGTACTTGTACTGTTATCACTGCAAGAATGTACCGTAAGTGTGAAAGACACAAGGCCTGCTGTATTGCTAATACATGTGGTGCGTTGTTTGACTCAGAATTCAAAGCGAAATAATAGCATTGCTGGTCTATGTGGCTCTGTAGATCTACATATTTACCCCATAAAGGATTAAAAATGCCTCGGTAAGAAAATTAAATGAACTCCATTAAAAAAGGTGATTCCTATTAACCTCCTTCACAATGGGTGGGTTGTTAACCTGGCCAGGAATTATAATTATCAGCCAGTCTGTCGCTCTTATTATGACAATGATCACCCTCTTGCATTGCAAAGCAGGCAATACTTAGCACCTCTAACCAGGAAATCAGGGCACTACCCCTATATGTTAGGAAGACTTACCTGACCACATGCAATAAACATAGCTGCAATAATATTGGCAGCATGAGCATTGTTTCCTCCAATTGAGCCAGCTAATGATGATCCCACCAAGTTCTTAGTAACACTGGCTTCCACAATAGCTGCCACACTAGTTTTCAATATTGATGTGACCACTTTTCCAGGTACCACGGATTCACATACAACAGATTTGCCACGACCCTCAATCCTGGAATGATGTCAATTTTTTATACACAGCACTTTTAATATATATATATATATATATATATATATATATATATATATATATATATATATATATATATATATATATATATATATATATATATATATATATATATATATATATATATATATATATATAAACATTATTTACTTTCTCAGCATAAAGGAAGGAAAAAACTTGGAAGAAAAAGAAAAAAAAATCATGCAGGAATGATCACTAGTACAGTATAAAGGACACTGCAATAGGTCTATTAGCCCATGCAAGGCAACTACTACAGAATATGAGTATCAGAATAAAGTTGAGTGTTACTTCACTGTACTGTATTGGAGTTTAATATTAAAGCAAATTTTACCTATTTCCCTCATTTTACTCACAGCTCAGCCTCACCTGCTCTGAATGCTACTGGGTGGCGAGTCGGCGACTCTGCTACACAATTACATGCCATCTCATGGATATTATTCGTTATCCCTCGTTTACGATATTTTTTGTTATCCCTCATTTAGCGATCATTTTGCTTAATGATCACTTTTTTAAGTATGCATTTGGATCATTAAATGTTTTTGTAACCATTTTAAGCCAGTGGTACGTTCCCAATATGTTTGTCCTCCATTATCCAGTGTCAATATTGGAGGAAAAACAGAGTATAATAGGATAAAACCTACAATGTTTGATACCCTTCCAACGTTATGACCCAGGGACTGAATCCAGGACATGGTGTAAGGAGGCAAGAGCATTACCACTGTTTCACCAGCATGGAGACTAACGTACCATATTTTACGGCATAAAAGACGCACAGTCAGGGAATATTTTTGAAAAAACATTTGTGTATTTTTCTCCTGTAATCATAGTTTTCGTAAAATAATACAGTAATATCTCCATTAGCCGGAATCCTTCAAACCCGGAACTCTCCGATACCCGGAATTGAAATTTTCTCGGAAAATCGCTCCCAAAGCCAGGATTTTTCGGAAAATTCCGGCTTTGGGAAAAATTTTCCGAGGGGCACATTTTCCAGAAAATTCCGAGAAATTTTTCCCGATACCTGAAAAATTCCGGGGATGGGAGAGTTTTTTCAGGGTTTGAGATGAAAATCTGGTGCATTTTCTGGAAATTCCAAAATTTCTGTCACCTGGAAAATTCCAGAAAATTCCGGGGATGAGGGATGTTTATTCCGGGTTCGAGAGATGGTGTAATGGGCAATTTCTGGAACTTCCGGGAACATTTTCCCGCTACCTAGAAAATTCCAGGGATGAGGGATATTTTTCCGGGTACGAGAGATGGTGTAATGGGCAATTTTTGGAACTTCCTGGAGCATTTTTCCGTTACCTAGAAAATTCCAGGGATGAGGGATATTTTTCCAGGTTCAAGAGATGAGGCGCTCAGCGTTAGAAGGGGGTGGTGAAGTGGCACCCCGGCCAAAATTAGTTTTTTGATGGATATCACTATTTTCACCCTTCCTCTACATGTTGGCGTTGGATGTAACCCCCTAGCTAGAATAGAAATATGGAAGAAAGTCCTTAAAAAATAAGGCGTGATTTTGCCTCAGGATTGGAGCTACATATCTGACTGTGAGCTCAGTCAAAGAAAGTGGCAACATCCCGTTCAGAGCAAAAGGCACGCGAGCCGATGACACCACGCCTCCCTCGGACCATACCCCCTGAGGCAGCCAATCACAATGAAATTCCCCTTGGTACGTCACAGCTCTTCAGCCAATCCGCGCACCCAGATGCTGCCTCCTTGTTGGTTTGGGCACGTTGTATAGTATAAGGAGGGTTCAGTGTACTTTCTACTGCTATTTTTATAACTTTTCGGCGTAACTGACATTATTCGTGTTCCATGGATGTGAGATCTGCCCGATATTAGAGCAAGACTTGAGTGAAGCCAGACCTTCTGGTGTGGGTTCAGGGGCCCTAATTCCTGAGCGTGTGTTTAGTGATGACAGTGCTCACATGGACACCCCAGTAATGCTTGGTGATAGTGATAGTGATTTTGGTACAGAACTCATAATACAAAAAGTGACTGCTATGCATCACAAGACCTTTGGGGGTTGTAAGACGAATGCTGTTTTTGGTGATCATTAACTTATTTTACAGTATTAGCCCACAATAATAAGAAAATTTTGCAGAAAAACACGATTATTGTTTGGTTTGAAGATCAAACAACTGTATATTACAGGTAGTTATTCTCATTCAACTTGCGATAAAATAATAACTATTTATAGTACTAACTTCCAGTTTTCACACTTCGCTAGGAGAGGGATTGAGCTGCACGATAAAAAAAAAATAACCCACTAGCTTAATAAACAAAAAGTTATGGTCGTTTGAACTTCAAAAAACTTTAAACGTGTTTTCCTCAGCTTTTTTTTAATTTGGCGCTTCATCCCCTTCTCATGCTGAGTGCCTCAGATGATGTAATGGGCATTTTCTGTAACTTCCGAGAACATTTTTCAGTTACCCGGAAAAATTCTGGGGATGAGGGATTTTTTTCCGGCTTTGAGAGTCGTCTCGATGCCCAGAAATCTCTCATTCCCGGAAGTGCTCTGTACCAATTGTTCCGGCTAACGGGGATATCACTGTATACAGTATACTGTACAGTACCAGTAAATGTGAGGAATAAATAAAAATAATAGCAATAAATAAAAAATAAAAAAAATACTGTCCAGTAATGTAAAAGTATTACCAATTGACAGGTTGACTGTTCTGGGTAAACACAAGATATACACTCTGCCACGTTCGTAGAGTGATACGGTATATATAATCTGCAATACAATTTTAAAGTCCTGCTATAATAGTAGTGATAAGTTTATTTCTCTAGAAACAGGGCCGCCATTTGCAATGACGTAACCACTTATCCTGCAGACGACGTACGGATGGAGAAACGAGTCAATTGAGAAGTAATGACATTTTCTGGACTTTGTTTTTGAGAATTCCTGATGCCAGGTAAACATGACAACATAGTGCTGTTATTGTTTTGATGATTCACTAATGAACCACTAGGATACATCATCATTTATATTAATTAATGGGAAAATTTTTACTATAACTACCAAAAGCATTTTGATGTTTAGATTCGAGATAGGTTACATTGGGTAAATTTTAAGTTTTGGTCATTCCTGTATTTAGACATGCAGACTGTGTTATGAACGATTTTCACCTTCATTTCTATTGGAAATCACTAGTTTTGAGTTACTACAACCCCCCCCATCCCTTACCGGTATATGTTAAGCTAACCTTATAACTTATAATATAACACATCATACCTAACCTAACATATGACCTGTATTTTCTTATGTGATAGAAAAATGTTTTGCGACAGAAATCCCGTAGAGATAATGTGTCTTATTGTTTAAAGTACTTAATCCCAAAGTTAGAATCTTAAGGTTCCCCAGATGACCAAAACCAAAATAATACCATTATTGTTTGGAATGTTTATACTATGAAATTTGTAGTATGGGCAGCTAATATCCATTGAATTAGTTCATGTGCTTAGTAATTTATATTCAATATAGCATTACCGTGTTGCACAGTAAAGCACAATTATTTATCTAATAATATGTATTTACATAGCCAATCAGCCGAGAAGGTTGGACAACTACTTCCAGGGTTCATCAAGGCAGATGAAAGAAATTTACCAAAAGTAGATGTCTTTACAATTGTAGAGTATTATAAAAAACTCGGCCATCCAGCTATGAAGCACGTTAAATTACATCTATCATGTAATCATCTCAAGCCCATTCCCTGGCCATGGTCGTCCCTAGTCCTTCCACAACATTAAATATAGACATCAGTGACGAAAAATTACAATTTCCAGACATGAAATAGAGAACAGTGATGAAAACTTCCATGTTGGAGTTATCGGTCTTTTGCATCTTTTGGCACCCAGCAAGTAAATACACAAAAGACTGAGAAAGCTGCAGGATGAAGAGAAGGTAGAGATAAAAACAAGGAAAGGAAAAACCATGAGAAGAAGTCTCCTAGGTGGCCAAAACAAACTGTCTGACAAGGCCATTGACACACTAACAAGCTATTATGGAAATACCATAAGATCAAAAGTTATTTGGACATGATGATGGCAGTAATGAGCACCTTCCACCACGTATTAAGCACAGACACTCACCCCCGACATGGACTATGCCCTACGGGATCTGACTCCTGGTGCTTTTTCCAGAAAGGACTAGCAGAAGGAAAAAAGGAGGAAGACATCTCACACAAGGGTAGGTCTCTTGTCATCAATATTTCTGAAGAAGCACAGAAAAAGGTAAGAAAAATCTACAAGGCACTGTCATCAAGGGACATCATGGAGAGATGCCTTCGAGGGCTGACTCAAAATGTAAACGAAAGTTTTCATGCCAAGATGTGGGCACGGGCACACAAAACCAAGTTGCTGGGCTTCGTTGTGTCCAGTATGTTAGAAAGACTGCAATCTTGGACCACAATTTTGGCTACCAGAAAGCATCACTTCTAAAAGAAATGAACATGGACTTATCAGCCTTTCAAAAATCATTGCAACGCCAAGATGTCTATCGTAAGAATCACTCAACGCCGAAGACAAGTCCTAAAGAAAAGACTGGGATGAAAAGCACACCAGACTATGCACCAGGAGCCTTTTGATGAAACCTGTCAACAAAGAGGAGTGTGGGCACCTCTGAAACCCTCTCAAATGAGATAGTACCCTGCCTCAACAAGGTAAGGGGAGGACCAGGATTGCCTGAAGAATAAGAAATATAACTGGAGTTCAGTTGGAGATGTAAAAGTACACCAAAATACAAGTTAATACATGTAAAGTTGGCTCAGAATGAGCACTTACACAGGGAAGAAAGGTTGAGAAACTTTCCAACACTCATCCTGACAGTTCTCTGCCAGTTTTTGACCAATTTTAGTGAAACAAACACTCAGCACAGGAAGAACCTTTCCTCAACATAACAACAGATTCCAATTTTTTCTATCTTGTAAGATTTATTTTGGGTTGAATATTTTATCTTGATATTTTGATAAAAAATTTTCAACCAAACTTGAAATTTTTATTCATGAAACCAAAGACAAAAACAAACAAATGGCCCTGGACAATTCAGTGGCAATACAAGATCTCTTAGAACTACAGGTATGAATTTCAAGGCAAAATAGAAAGAAGAAATGCAGAAATTATACCTTGAAAATTTAGACAAATGTGAGAAAATGTGTAGAGGGTTGAAAATTTTGAAAGGGTAGAAGGGGGCTATGGGGCTAGAATTGATGTACTGTACACATGATCCTTGACTGATGACAAGAATATCATAACAATCGACCAAAATTAAAAGCACCTACACCAAAAACCGGACTCTCCTCTTAAGTACAAGTAAAAGTGATATCTTTGTTAGCTGGAACAATTGGTGCAGAGTACTACCGGGAATGAGAGATTTCCGAATAACAAGTCGACTCTCTCAAAGCCGGATAAAATCTCTCATCCCCAGAATTTTCTGGGCATAGGTAAAAATTTTCTCGGAAGTTCCAGAAATTGCCCATTGCACCATCTCTCGAACCCGGAAAAATATCCCCCATCCCTGGAATTTTCCGGGTACCGGAAAAATTTTCTTGGGATTTCAGGAAATTGCGCCCCTTGGAAAATCGTTGCCAAAGCTGGAAATTTCCGGAATATTCTGACTTTGGGAACGATTTTCCGATAAAATTTCAATTCCTGCTATTGGAGACTTCCGAGATTGAGGGATTCAGGCTAACGGAGATATGACTAGTAATGTGTTTAACTAAGCACTAACATATTTAAAATACTCGAGTTGTGCTAGGTAGAATTTAGTCTAGGGGAGATGGCAACTTCACATAAAAGATACAGGCAGATTTTTTGGTAGCCATTTTTCAGACAAAAAAATGCCTTTTACATGCTGTAAAATATGGTGTGTGTTAAGATTGTGTGTACAGTGGGAGAAAGCTAAAAGTGAATTTGTAAAAAGTACACAATAGTACAAGTAAAAACTAAAGAGTGAGATATGAATATTGGCTCGATATACAGCTACTCCTCAACTTACGACATACTTGACCTACGACCACCCGGACATACGACCGCCCCAGTCTTACAAAAAAAAAAAAAATTAAAATTACGTATTTTCGAGTCCCAATGTTAGTGATTGCGCTGTGTACTGACAATTTTTTTTTTTGTAATTCCCTTTTAAATGGCTGGCAAAATTAAAAGTGAGAGTTCTCGGTCCTGAGAAGAAAAAGAGACACCCAGAAATTTATGTAAATCTACCTAAAGATACAGTTGAAAATTTTTTACATTATTAAAATGTACTATGTACTAAAAATTTTATCTCTTGTCCAAAATATATGACGTTTATATTCAAATTAATCACTATCTTATAAGAATTCCAGCAATGTAAATTATATTCTCCCCGGTCACTTCTATGACATTTTATAAGCAAAAAAACAAAAACTCAATCTAAGGGACATAAATAAACAAATAAATACTTCACTAGACCTTCGGCACTAACTGTCAAACATGTTACTGTCACCCCTAAGTGCAAACCTGTACTGTACATGTACTAAATGATTAGGGTACTAAAATTTTTGTCTTGTGCAAATTGTTGCTTGTTTATATTCAAATTAATCACCGGTATCTTACAAGAATCCCAGCAATGTAAATTAATTCTCCCAGGTCGTTTCGGTGGCAAATCATAAGAGAAAAGCTTAGTCACTCTTAAGGACTGATAAATAAACACACAGACCTTCGGTGCCAACTGTCAAACATATCACCTCATCTCCCCTGACCCCCCCCACCCCTCACTCCCTCTCGCCCATCCAGGGTTTTAGTCTTACAGTTTTTATCTTATATAATATCACAGACTAAAGTTAGGAAAATATAATTTGCTACCAAACAGGGAGGTACTACCACCTGGGAAGAAATTGGAAGCATAATGTGTTGTCTAATGGTAGACCCTGCTGCCACGAAAATTGTGACCAAGTCCCAGGTTGCTGATCTGACTTTCTGCCTCATTTACACACAATTGCAGGGTCTCAATTGTTTCTCTTACTATTGACAACATAACATACACACTGTATATTGTTTCTCACTCTTAATCTTTGTTTTTTCATTTTTGTATTTCTTTATGGTTCTTTATTATTATTATTATTATTATTATTATTATTATTATTATTATTATTATTATTATTATTATTATTTTTGTATTTTTTATTATAAATTTTACTTATCTGAATTATTATTATTATTATTATTATTATTATTATTTATTATTATTATTACTATTATTACAACTTTGCCCCCTCAGGCCCCAATGTGGATCAGTGACCTGTGCTTGGGTGGGGTAATCCCCGTAAAAAAAAAAATAAAAAAAAATCATATTTTGCACAAAAGATAAAAATTAATCACCTGTAGTGATTTAAGAGTTCTATTGTATATATATATATATATATATATATATATATATATATATATATATATATATATATATATATATATATATATATATATATATATATATATATATATATATATATATATATATATATATATACACACACACACACACACACACACACACACAGTAGTACCCCGATTTACGCGGTCAATTGAACCCACAGGGTACCGCGGAAAGTGAAAACCAGCGTAAAGTGAACAACAGAACATATGGGATTAATTCCAAGAGAGACTGGCCCGACCCCCAAACTCCACTTTTTCCGACAATACCTATGTTGTAGTAAAAATAACATCTTAATTTTATGATGGTATGCATACACAATTAATATTTAAGAGAAATACAGTCGCCAGGTTAATGTCCATTCAAATAATGGACTCGAACTGACCACGTGAGCTGGATACCTGGCCAATGGTTCCTTTCGCCAGTGTGACCAGTGTGCGGATCGTACCGTTGACTAGTGTGACCATAGCTTAAGGAACACATTAGAAGTGACATAAGCTTTGGGTTTGAAAGAACAAAATGGAGTTAATAGGCTGTAAAGAATAAAAATCATAAAGTTAGAAGTGGAAGTGATTGCTACAGAGATGTGGATATGTGGAAAGAATGAAAGATTATTAGAAACAATGGTTCATTCAGAAGCAAATAGTGAGAGAAGTGTCCAGGAGGAAGTAGAATGGGATGGACAAAATTCTCAATTCACTTATAATTTTCTTTCATTCCTCTACTATGATGTTCAATTCCAGCTGCTGACACAGCCAATCTTAGATATATTATATTCATATAAAATAAATAAGTATCACAAACTTTAGCTGGATGATAAGGACATATCTTGTACAGTATAGTCTGCATTTACGCGGTCAATTGAACCCGTGGAGGCCCGCGTAAAACGAGAAACGCGTAAATGAAATAACAGAAACATATGGGATTAATTGAAATAGAGACTGAGCCGACCCCCAAACTCCACTTTTTCCGACACAATACTTAACTTGTAGTAAAAATAACATCTTAATTTTATGATGGTATGCACACACAATTAATAATTAAGAGAAATATCAATAATATTAGGTTTTTTAACAACTACATTAGTAGAAAAGCTGAGTCAGCACACGTGGATGGCGGCTGGTTCCGAGGCAGAGGGCAGATGAAATGCCCTCCGGTGAATTATTTTCGCTTTCACTACTCGCAGAGGTTTGCAGGACCTCCCAGACAAACCCCTCAAAGTCCATATCCTCACTGTCACTATTACTTTCACTGACTTGGGCTGGCTGTGGTTGTGGTGGGTTGCGTGCGAGAAGTCCTCAATACTACGTTGACGACTAGCATTGATGTTGTCGAGATAAATCTGGATATACGGCTCCATAACTTTCGACAGAAGGTTATTAGACACTTCATACCGATGCTTGTCTGGGTCGTTGTTAAAGATGAGCTTAATTTTCTCCCCCCAACTCGATGATTTCCTTCACATTATCATGGCTTGGTCCAGGTAATTCAAGGTTTTTCTCGGGTGGTGGGGGGTCCCGCGGAAGCCATTGTGAGGGGAATAGCGGGCACAAGAGAGAACTGTATACGCGGACTGAAAACAATGAGACAGGCCTGGCTAGGTCAGCAACTTCTACCCTCTGGTGGCAGGGCACGTCATGTTTCATTAGACCAATCACAGCTAGCGGCGGAGGGAATGCGTGGGTGGTAAGGATGCGTGGCCCAATCACAGTCCGTTACGTCATATGATGTCAGCGATAACGCAAGAGCGGCCTAATGCACACCACTCACCGCGCCGCTTCCCGAGTATGGTCAAGACTGGACCGCGTGGGTAAAAAATGGCGCGGCGGTATGGACCTCTCCAGCCGCTCTCCGCGTAAATGACCAAATTTACCGTGTAATTAAAGCATTTTCATTCTGGCAAGGCACCGTGTAAATGACCAAACGCGTAAACAAAAACTGCGTAAATCCAGACTATACTGTACATGAAAATTGTGTATATGACTACAAACTCATCTATCCACATAAAAAGCAATGTCTGTAGGCTAAAAAATATTCCTATATGATAGAAATGGTGTTACTGTATTGAACACATACCAGTTAATGGCTGATGGTTTTTTGTCCACACAATAGTTGCCGCTAACACTCAGGACTTCAAGTTCAGGGAAATGTTTTTTCAGGGCCTTAAGTCCTGCCTCCGTGCCCTGAGTAAAAATAAAAATTTATACAAATATAAACCACCCATAGAAATTTATTAATGATATTTATGCATATACCAGTAATATAAAACATTCCATAATAGTATTTTTTTTTTAAATAAAGAAGACTTGAAAGTCAGGCACCTGACAAATACTGTACACAATTCACTAATCAGTAATAAAACACTATACAGTAGTTGTATTCCACAACTACTCAAGCATTATGTTGCAATATTTCATCTACAGAACCTCAGCCTACAAAATTGCACTTATTACTCACGCACTCAAAAGAATTTCCTGCCACAGAATTTTGCTCATGTCATATAACCTACAACTCTTCAAAACATCCTGTTGTAAATATTTTTAATCTTTGGCTTCATGAACACATGTGATATTAGCAAAAGTCTGATCTCTCCCTCATACCAATTACTGGTAACAGAAGAGCAAGGATTGGAGTATGAAATCTAATGTTATGGTCTATGAAACTTTATGAGTGATTTGGAGTGATCCTGTCAAAGAGCACCAGTAAGAAGAGCTCACTAAATACTTGCAGGTTTATTGCTTGATACGGTATAGAATCATTGTGGATGATGTTTGTACTGCTAACCAAAGCCTTAGAGGTCTACTCATCCAATAAATCTACCTTCTGCCAGATCTACAGGTGGTCTCATATACCACTGAGGTTTCACTTTGGATTTTATATTCACAAATTCACTGCACTACAATCCCCCAATCCACAAAATGGGTTCACATCTCTATTCAAATTTATATTTTCCTGTTATCACATTAAAGGGTCAACATATCCTACTCTTTTAGCAGACAATTTTGAGGTTAATTTAACAATTCTGCATTTTCTGTTTAGATATACTATTTCCTATTCCAAATTATGTCATATTATTAGTGTAATTGTCTGTGTTTATGTTATTAGTGTGGGTGAGTTTTGCACTACCCTGGGTCTTCAACCATTCACCATGCAAGTAATACATCTTTGTATGTAACCCTCATGACTACAGGTGACAGCTTATTTCCCCAAATATAGTACACTGCAAAGCTGTTTGTCTCCCATACATCACTTTGGCTTTATCACCCCGAATACTTTATTCCTTTAGTACTGCCACAATCAGTTTAAACAGGTTAAATATGGTCTATATGGTAAGTCCTGCCCATAAGATTTATCATCACTTATGAAGGATCTTATATACTCTAAATACATTTGTGGATAAAATTCTTAATATCTTAAGAGGGACTTGGCCACAGTTAGGTATCGTACAATAAGACTAGTACAGTACTATAGGTACACCACCGATTTTCCGGTACCCTTGGTTCCAAAGCCTTGCCGGATTATCCGTTTTGCCGGACCAACCGAGGTCAGGTAATAATAATTCAACAACACACCTCTGAACCACTAATTATACACCTCCTGTGTCTCTAAAGCTCCATGGACTGCTAGAAACTTAAATTAAACTATGTGATGTTCATACTCAAATTAATCACTATCTTACAAGGATTCCAGCAATGCAATTTATATTCTGTTAAGTCTAGTCAGCTACATTTTATAAGATAAAAACTTACTTAAGCCTAAAACTAGCTTCACCCTGGCTGGGAGGGAAGTTAAGTGCCCTCTCTTAATTTTGTCCGGACTAAAGGAGGTGCCGGACCATCAGTTCCCAGATAATCGGTGGTGTACCTGTAGTACAGTGAGCACACATTTGGCATGCCAACTTATATGCCTGTGTTACAACACCAGATACAGTACCATGAACCCAGTACTGTAAACCCTTAATTTTCAGACAAGTCATATACTTGGAGAACAAATCTGATAAAGAATCTGGGAAAAATCAGGGGCAGATCCAGGAATATAAAAGGGGGGGGGGTCCAAAAAGTTGTGGGTGGGGGAACATGGCGAGCACAGCGAGCCCACCCACAGGGATGTGTTTGGGTCTTGGGGGAAAAAAAACACCTACCCAGGAAGTTTTTACCATATTTAACTTAATTTCTCACATTGTTACTCATCTCGTGAAGGCCTAATAGTTAAAACACAAGTACAGAAAATCAAACATGTATGTTTATTGCAACAATATTTTTTAAGCATAGTCTTAATAGTTCCTTTAAACATTTTATTTGTTACTAGACTTAAATTTGTTGAATATTTTTAATTGTTCACCATTATTGAGAGAAGATAAATTAAAAGGAAAGCTTTTTTGCACTGTATTGTGTGAGAATTCAAAATTTAATACAGGGGGTCCCCCAAATTTGCGGTGGTTAGGTTCTCAAAATGGCCAAGGAATCGCCAAATCCACGAAAAACATTTGCTGACCGGGGGGTTGGGGGACCATTTTTACTAGTGTACAAAGAAATTTGTTTGTCCTTTATGTGTTTGCCCTTAGGAAAATTATTTCTTCTACCTGTATTGTATATGTGTGTGTGTGTGTGTGTCTGTGTGTAGACACACACACACACACAAAACACATACAAATAAATAATAATGGGTAAATACTCTCATAAATAATCAGAAACAAATTTATTAAAAATCTGAGTCTACCCTCAAGTCTACTCCGTGCTTTATTACTTTATTAATAAAGCATGAACTTGAGGGCAGACCCCGTCACATTTTTAATAAATTTGTTTCTGTTATTTGTGAGAGTATTTTCCCATTATTATTCATTTGTATGTGTTTTGTGTGTGTGTGTTTGTGTGTGTGTGTGCTGGAATCCCTGTAAGATAGTGATTAATTTGAGTATAAACATCACATAGTTTGCGCAAGAGATAAAAATGATAGTCCTTTAGTGTAGTACATTTGAGTACAAGTTTTTCAACTTATATTTTCGGGAAGATATATGTAACTTGCTTCATTTATTTTTACTCATTTATATGCACACACTATCCTAAATACATATTGTGAAAAAAATAAAAAATTATTGTTGTAAGAACATTTCTGTACTGTACTCAAATGTACTAAATAATTACTAAAATTTTTGTCTAGTGCAAACTATGTGATGCTTATAGATCGGCCCTCCAAATTCGCGGATTTTAATTTCGCGGTCCTCTAGTATTCGTGGATGACACTGGATGTACCCAAGAATGTCTGTGGGTAGTTTTAAAGTTGCCGACATTTTCCCGGCTGGGACAGAGAGCCATTCGTTCTGGAGACAGTAATTTCCTTTATCTGTATTGTAAATAGTATGTGTGTGTGTAGACATACACACACAAAACACATACTGTACAAATAAATAATAATGGGAAAATCCTTTCACAAGTAATCAGAAACAAATGTAGTATTAAAAATGTTGAGTCTACCCTCAAGTCCACACAATACAGGTAAAAGAAATAATTGTCCTAAGGGCAAACACATAAAGGGGATATACATTTTTTTGTACACAAGTAAAAATGCCCCCCTGTATTGTATTGTTAAAGAATTTTTTGTTAAAGCAATTTTTTGCATGAATAATGTCATGTAGTTTAATCCTAAATTATTAATTATTTTCCATACCTTGGATACCATATTCATCCCCATAGCATCACCAGTTTGTGCCACAAAGCGCATGAACAACAAACGTCCTGCAATTCCCACTTGCAAATCCTGCAGACGAGCAAAGCGACTGGTAGAATCAAAGCCTTCTTTAATGACTGCAAAATTCTCTTTCTTTCTTGTCCACATGTACACCTCTCTGTTGATAAACATATAATAATGTTGTAGAGCACATATTGAAGGCTACTGAAAGAGAGAGAAATCAATATATAGAATTTGCAAGTCAAGGCATTAATTAAATGTTACATAATGGCTATAAGTCAAGAAGTTGTTTGGGAATATAATCGTTGGCTTAAAAATATCAATAAAAAATCCATTACATGTGATATGAAACCATGAAATCACTTTAAGAAAAGTGTGATAAAAAATCAAGGGAGTCGGGGGCAGGAATTTGTAATAAAGTTGGGCCACAGGGTGAACAGGTCATTCCACCTTTACTTCACGGCAAGTCACTGTGCCAAACCTCCCCACTAACACAGTTTGGAACTGGTAATGAACCAGTGTGATTCAGGTCAAAATTCAACACACAAATAAGAGGGAGGCTATTTATTAATATGAGCCAACAACGCTATACTGATCAACGATGAGAGTGATGCTAATGTTACAGAATTAAACAAACCATATAATATATCACCTTGGTAGGTATAAGGCTATGGGAGTAAACCCCAAATGAAAAATCTGCAGTGAAGGCATGCTTACAGAGCTCCAATACAACCCAAACGGTGGTATAGACAAAAGAGGTGACCAACGTGGGAACCCAACGGCTACATCAGCGCAGGAAGGCAATGCACAATGGACAGGCTACTAAGGCAAACCCCAACAAACTGGGCTATCGGCAGTCCATTGCAACTCTCCCTCTCCCCAGTCGTTGCAACACGTGCACCACTGGAACAGGAAATGGGAGAGCAAGATGTGTGGTTGCAGCCTGTGCTCCTGCCTCACCACATAAATCAACTCACGCATAGCCATCATCCAGCTTCTCATACTTATCATCATCAAAACCCCTATACAGTATACTCTTGATTTAACGGAATCCGATATAACGAACTCTCGATTTAGCGGGAGGAATTTTTTCAGTTATTTTTTGCAAGATTTTGTGAACAAGTTTGCTAAATCGAGATTCATTCCATTTATACGCTCACACCTACAGACACACCTCAGACACATGATACAGTAAAACCTACTTCAGCCTCCAGCAACTGTACTAAATGTATAAAAACAATAAATAATGATAAAAAAAACACCATACAGTGGTCCCTCGGTTAACAAACGGTTCGGTTAACAAATTACCTTCCATAAAAATCTTCAATTCGGTTAACGAACAAAAATTTGATGAACAAAATCCTTACGAACATCACGTTTTGTTGTGAGCATCAGCTGATGGGCTAGTCTGCCAATTCAGTAATCTGTTCTATGTTTACATTCGTTTCCAGTGGAGTAAATATCAATAAAGTTGTGCTCTTTAATAATTTTGCATTTTTTATACAGTGAACCCTCACTTTACGCGGTCAATTGAACCCACGGAGGCCCGCGTAAAGCGAGAAACGCGTAAAGTGAACAACATAACATACGGGATTAAATGAAATAGAGACCGGCTGACCCCCAAACTCCACTTTTTCCGACACAATACCTATGTTCTAGTAAAAATAACATCTTAATTTTATGATGGTACATGCACACAATTAATACTTAAGAGAAATAGAGAAATACAGTCGCCAAGTTAATGTCCATTCAAATAATGGACTCAACTCCCTCCCCCTCTTCTCACACTCCTGGCTCTTCCCTCTCTGAGAAATGTTTGGGGGAAAACCACTAGATTTTAAGGTACTGTATAGTAATAAATAATACCTCAAACTAAAGTTAGGATACTGTAATATAATTGACATTGCTGGATTCCTTGTAAGACCAGGAATATTTTGAATATAAATGTCATATATTTTGCACAAAAGATAACATATTTACTCAGAGTAAACAAAATACTTAAAGTAGATCTAAAATTTGTATGTCTAATGCAAAATCTATGATGTTTATATTCAAAATGATCATCAAATTGTAAGAATTCCAGCAATGTAAATTATATTCTGGCCGGATAATTTGCATGAATTTTGAGCTAAATAAAAAAATTATACTTCACCCGCGTATATGAGTAGATGCACCGCGTAAAGTGGGAATTCCGGTTCTGGCAGGGTACCGCGTAAATGTAGAAACGCGTAAAGTGAAACCGCGTAAAGCGAGGGTTCACTGTATTAAAATTATTAGTAATTTTAACATTTAATTAACATATTGATAATATATGCAGTACAGGGAACTAGTTTTTTGTGCGCCCATCAGTAGCTTGACTCAGTCACAAGGCGTCAGTTGGGCTTTGAAAACAGTGGAGTGAACATCTATTTTAAAGGTGTCTTGAATATTTTGGCATTTTTCATTGAAATTATTGATCATTCTGAAATTTAGTTAACATATTAATAATATATAGTGCAGTGTTGATTTAAATAAAATAATCTTGAATTACACCAAGTGAATTTAAAATTTTATTGGTGAAATTACTGCATCAAGCATGGGTCCACTGAAAGGTGATTTCTCTTCCATCCCCACTTCCTTCTCTTCTCCCTTCTCCTCCACCCCCACTTCTAATTCCCATCATCATCATCAACCAGGAACCTTCTACATACACACCTCACAGTAAGTGTACTTTACTGCATTTTTTTTTTACTTTGTATGTACTTTTCGGTGAGCTGGAACATAATGACCTAATATCCCATTGAAACAATGGATTCGGTTAATGAACGACCTTCTGGAAAGAATTGTGTTCGTTAACCGAGGGACCACTGTATAAGATTCACCCCCCATTTGTACCAGGGAGTATTTAGGAAACTGTTACCAATAACATATAAAACCACACAGGAAAAGGGAAACACTGGAGCACCTTAGCTTTTGTCTTTATTCAAGACTTCTTCAGAGACAACTAAATTTGCAGGAACTGAGAGAGGCTTATATACAGTGAGTGACCTTACATAATATGAGGTCAGGTCAATAACAAAGGATCCACTAATCCACACACCACCTCCACTGCAAATAACACGAGACCCACTAATCACCTACCCTATATCCACCTCAAATGCTTTCAAAGCATTTTTAACCTTAGGCCAGTTATTATTCATTAATTAATACCCTCAACACCACAACATCTGGAGTTTAAAGTCTTGTGTAAGACAATGAGTTGGAGGGAGGGAGGCTGAGAGGGGGAGGCAAGGAGGGAGGGAGGCTGAGAGGGGGAGGCAAGGAGGGAGGGAGGCAAGGAGGGAGGGAGGCAAGGAGGGAGGGAGGCTGAGAGGGGGAGGCAAGAAGGGAGGGAGGCTGGCTGGCATGTTTTAATATAAAATATTAAACACTAGAGAAAAAATTTTATATATAATTTGACAACAAAATTACCTGCCAAGGTGAATAATAAGTCTCTCTCTCTCTCTCTCTCTCTCTCTCTCATGTAGATCCAGAATGGAAACGTGGACAATATAAATCTTGATAAAATCACACATGAAAAACCATTACAATGATCACAACCTGTACTCAAATGTACTAAGTTGATTACTAAAAAGCCAAAATCTTAAAACATCTTACTGTAATCAATGCACTAATTAAAGAACTAAAAAAATTATTTCTAGTGCAAACTATGGGATGTTTATACTCAAATTAATAGCCGTCTTGCAAAGATTCCAGCAATGGAAGTTATATTCTGCTAAGTCAAGTCAGTGCCATTCTATGAGATAAAAACTTTTAAGCCTAAAACCAACTTCTTATTGTCTTATGGTTGGAGGGAGGGGGTATTATCAAGTGTGTAGTACTGTATCAGCGGAGGGACTCAGGAATATACAATACAGTTTAAGTTTTTTGCTATAAAATGCGTGTGAAATGCAAAAATTTGTGGATCAACACAAGATGTGTGAATTTTTCAATTCTGCTAAAACAGCATATGGCTCAACTACTCATGGTGCAGCCCCCTCTGCTCAGTCAATGGTAATTCCCTAATTAAAGACGAAGAAGGTATCCATCAGCGCTGGAAAGGGCACCGCTATTTGCTGCTCCACCGAAACACTGATGTGGATGTCCTGACTACCCAGCAGGTCCCTCAGCATCCAGAGCTGACCCACCTCAGCTATCCCTATCCCTGGATGAGGTAGCTACTGTCATCAAACAGATGAAAAATTAAAAAGCCTCAGGGCCTGATGGAATCCCAGCCGAGGTGTATAAAGCAGGAGGACCTCTCGTTACCAGCCATCTCCACTCTCTCCTGGAGAATATATGGGAGAAGGAAAAAATCCCCCAAGCTCTTAAAGACGCTTCCAGTGTCAATATTTATAAGAACAAGGGAGACCGATCAGAATGTGACAACTACTGTGGAATCTCGCTGCTGTCCGTACCAACTGTAAGAACATCGAGGCTACCATTATCCATGAGCAACTATGCTGGACTGGCAATGTTACCCGCTTGGACGACAGTAGATTACCAAAGCAGCTACTTTACAGTCACCTAATGAATAGTGAATGTAACGCCGGCAGGCAACTGAACAGGTATAGGGATGGTCTTAAGTCAAACCTGAAAAAGTGCCAAATTGACCCCTTCACCTGGGAGTCGATTACTTCACACCGTAACACTTGGAGAAGCACCACACAAGAAGGTGTCAATACTTTCAAATTAGCACGACTGCAAACCGAGGGAGACAAGCGGCAGCGCCAGAAAGGCGCTGCCGCCGCCCCTCCCGCACTATATATAACCATCCACACATGCAACATCTGTGGACGACCCTACCGGTCCCGTATCAGCCTATTTAGTCACCTCAGAACTCACCAATGAAGGTGACATCCTTAATAACTCGTATCATTGTATCATAGCTAGATGATCGTCATACTCAATTCTGAGTGACAGAAAAGTAGTAGTAGTGTGTGGGGTAGAGAGGGGGTCATGATGGGGTGTGGAGGGCAATTGTTCATTACCTGGAACCACCACTGTTCAAGGTTGTTAGATTATTCCAGGAATGTGTGTGTTGGTGGGGAGGTTCGGCACAGCGACTCGATGTCAAGCAAGGGTGGAATGGCCCGCTCACCCCCTGGCCCAACTGTATCACGAATTCCTGATCTCGACTGTACAAGTGACCCTTTTCTTCCTTCACAAATTATCAGGCCATGACATATTCTTGTCATATGTCACATACTATGGCTAGACAAAGAGAAAATGGAGATGGCTACACTTGTGCCCATGTCCACATAAACATCTACACCCAATTCACTTTCTAATAACTACATCACCTTTCAAGACTTCTGTAACATTTGTCATTTTGTGGTAATGAGTCAATAACATCTCTCAGTACTCTAGTGACTGTCTCTGTGGTAATGTGGCAATAACATCTCTCAGTACTCTAGTGACTGTCTCTGTGGTAATGAGTCAATAACATCTCTCAGTACTCTCGTGACTGTCTCTAAAGTAAGGGCTCTTGAGTAAGAACCTGGAGACTCAAATGGATTTCATCATACTCCCTGATAAAGTATGAAGGGTCAACATTATCTCCTTTTTTTCAAGATTTGTCCAGTCATCGCCTCTATGAAAGACCAGTAATCTGTCATTTTACACAGTAGTGAGAGATATATTCAAGAGTTTCATTCCTCTACACTATCAGGTACAGGTATCCCTCATTTAGCATTAATTCACTTAACAATAATGTTCCATTCATACACAAATCTCCTCAATCTCATCTTTGTTCACTACTGTCTATGCAACAACAATTATTATAAATAGCAAACAAAAGAACATAATCAACTACCATATTGGCTATATACATACGTGGCTTGAGCAGCAGTGGGCAGCCTGACACTCGGTGCTCTGGTCATTCCATCCCGAAATACTTCACTCTTGACTCCATTGACCATAGCACGACAACCACGATTGGTGGAAGCAACCAAACATCCTTCAGTGGTTGCCATTGGCACCATATACATTTTGCCATTCATAAGCAGAGGACCAGCAACACCCACAGGGATAGGTACATATCCAATCACATTCTCACAGCAGACACCCATCACCTGGATAAAATAATACAGAATTTTAGTATTACACAATCACAATGATCTATGAAAATGAGTCCCATAGGCATGAATGTCCGTTAGGGACAATGTGGACACAGCACACTATATACTAAGCCTTTGGTACACAAGGAAGCAGTATGGCCAGCACTCAATCACCATCACTTCCTCAACTTTATAAAGTATGGTACAGTACCCATTTACAGCTGGGTATACTGTGTGTGTGTCCTGCAATCAAACCAGCGAACTTTAGGACAGGCAGACCACACTGTATCCACTCTATCACTGCATCCTAATAGAAATATAAGGAACTTCAAACATGTCTGTTTACACATATGCCCTCAGAGAGTAGTTTAACCTCTGTTAAAACACATGAATTTAGTATTGTGTACAACCTGTATGTCTAGTGATAATAAAAATTAATCTCAAATTCCATCAAAATATTTACACAGACACAATGGTGGACTCTTTGCAGTGAAATTAACCTCAGAAATATTAATGTTCTATCCAATGACGACATATTTATGCTAAGTTTCACCAAAATATATCTAATGAATCGAGAGTTGGTTCTCCTCTAAACAAGGTTTTTACCTGCGACAAAGATTTTAATCTGACTTTATACACTAACCTTATGATGATACATACTGTAAGATTCTAAAATATATGCATCGATTTAGTAGTTATTATCAGAACAATGAGTCGATACATAACTATCAGTAGTGAGAGTAACCTTTAACCCTCTCGTAGTCTTTCGAAGCAAATTGCATTGCTAAGCACTCCTGTGCTGGCGCAACCTCTCCCGCTCAGCTGTATCTCACACTGAGAGCACCCATCCTGTAAGCAAATATGTGGCAAGAGTGGCCCTGCCCATCAACCACCTACATTCCTCCCGCTACCCTCGTGGGCTGGCATATACAACTCTAAGGGTACAACTTGAGTTTGGATCGCTCTACACAATGCTTATTAATATGGAAAAAACGTTCCTGTTACCAATGTAACCTGTGTCAAAAGACTAGGAGGGGGTAAGATTTCTGACCATGGCCAGGAGAACAAGGGGGTTAACACAGACATCAAAATTTGACGTTCTCTTCTTTAATTAGTGATAATGTATAACGTAAAATTCCATCATAATATCTAAATGAGACGAGAATCCCACTCTAGACAAAGGTTTGACTCTCTCTACCTTCCAAATTTTAAGTCAATCTGAATAATCCGAAAGGAATAGAGCATTAACAATCTTTTGGGGCAGATTGACAAGGTTAACAACATGTGTCCCTCTGATGGACACATAAAAAGTAATTCAGTAGATCAGTTACACTAGTCACATGCAGATGTAGATGCAGCATTATTTTTTGCCATAATCTGTTATAATTAAATTCTAATTTTTACAGTTAATCATTGCATGTATAACTGATTTTTGTCAAACAAGTATTTCCCATTATGATAAAATGTACTGTAATACCACTTTGATTTATTGGCCGATACATCTCCCAGATTTCAAAATAACCCATTTTATCAATTCTATCTACAATCATACTTCCATTTATCTATATTGTACTTACTATGGTCAACTTTTTTTGTCACATTCACTTTCAACATTCACCTTGTATATAATTTTTCATGTTCTTTCAATAAAATTTATAAGTTTTCTTCTAAATCACTCACCAAGATAGTATCATCTGCAAAAAGCTGCTGACACACAATAAACCCTCGATAACTCGGCATTTGATAACTCGGAATTTCATATAACTCGGCATGGATATGGTCTCGGAATGTATTATAGTACAACTCGGGAAATGCCGAGATATATAAAATTACTATCTGGGGAAATTTTGGCATATCTGGCCACCTGCGTCACCTACCATGCCTCTGCGTCACCTACCATGCCTCTGCGTCACCTACCATGCATCTGTGTCACCTACTATGATGCTTCATTCTTCACCTGCAGTGCTGGTAAGTGTTACCTTTTTACATTTAGTAATTATATGTACACATATATGGGTTGATAATTTTTTTTTTTTTTTGTATTTTTGTGGGAAGGGAGGAGTGCCTCGATAAGTTGGAATTTGGGATAACTCGGCAAGGCCAGAGCCCCTTTGTACCGAGTTATCGAGGGTTTACTGTACATGCTTTGCAACCAGTATTCCTTTCAACGAGACTTGCTTCCCTTTTCAGTACTATGTATTTTCACCTCTCTTATTACCCCATCCATGGACATACTAGCACTGACCTAATTTTAACTGGGAACCAACAATCTCCCCAATATGCTTCTTCTAATTCCACAATCACTATCAATGAACTCCTCCTCTTCACCATATGTTACTTTCATACTTCTTAATACAAACATTTGACCTAGACAACCTTGTCCTATTCTGAACCCACACTGTTATACCCCTAATAGTACTATTTTCATTATTACTGAAGATAATATTTTTATAATGATAATAGAAATAAAAATTATAAGCAAGCATAATAATAATAATAATAAATAAAGAGCAGAAATAACAGAATATGACCAATAACCAACAAAACTTCTTCCTGTGAACTTATTGATTCAAGGGGTTTAATCAGTATGTCGGCTCTCTTATTTTAAACTACAGTACTGTACCAAGTCAATTTTCTGACCTTAGTGTAGTCATAGTGGTCATAGGGTAGAGAGTCCATGGAGCCCTGGTTAGCAGTGTGTGGTGCTACAACTGTCCTTCGTATGCCAACAGCTCTCAATGGATTACCCAAAAGGGATTCTAATTTGTAGCTTGGTAAATGTTTCTTCTCTACCATTTGCACAATCTCTTGGTTTGATAAAGATTTAGCACCTGCCTGTTGAAAAGAAAGTACTATATTATGAACAAAATGGCTTTACAAAATGTTCTTGTAAATTAAGCACTAAGAGACTAACAATGTAGGTAGAGAAACTGTGTACATCAGAAAATGAGAAAGATGTTTAGAATGGATTATACAGGGGATTAATTCATGATGTATGGAATGTAAAATATAAGGTCGTGTAATGTCCAGTCAGAATTATATGTTTACACATGGTAAAAAGCCAATTTTAAATGTTAGATTCATGACAGGCAAAGTTTTGCAGTTCATATATTCATTAAGATACTAATACCCAAGGAAATACTGCGTATAGTACACAGAAGATGTTTGCTCACCTTATATGAACTTGAAATATCATAGGTTAAATACAGCCAGAGGAAAAAAGCCTATGGAGTGCATGTGAATTACATGGAATTAAATATCATCTCTACAGATACAAACCCCCATCACAAAATTTTATCATGGCAGGGCAAATACTGAAATAGTGACACTGTTCCACCATAAGAGACTGCATCATGTCATCATTTACTTTAATCTCCAGAATACCCTGTGTGATATCATTGCATCAACTGCTATGATGGCAGTACATAGTAGATTTTGATGCATATTTCATCTAGAGTATTAATATGTGGACTTTGTCATATGCTGATCAAACTTAACAAGTTTGGTTTAAATCCACAAACTTAAACTGTTCTCAAGACAGAACCAAAACCAATCCTGCCCCTAGTTACAAACAGGATTACGAATGTAAACACTTGGAAGTGAAAATAATTTAAACTGGAGTCACAGAGACAATGTTGGCATATGTGAGTGGATAGAGTTAAAGCATGGATAAGATGGGCAGAGAAAATCATGACTGTCCAATATCCTCACTGATAGAATTAAAAAACTGAAAGATGGATGGACTGGACAAGATGGATGAATGTTGAAGGTATTGATGATGTTTTGATACTTACAAATGATACTGCGGTAACATGTGAAACAACAAAATTTAAAGTGAATATTGTACATAAAATAAACTTCCAAATGAAGGTCTTACCTCAGAGTTAATGACTGCAATACATTCTTCAAGTGATCTTGGAGGTTTATCTTCATCAGCATCATTATTTTCTTCAGTCAATACCCCTTGTACCTTATCTTTCTCTGTCTGTGTACCACGATCTTCCTTACAAGCTGCCATAGCTGACTCCTCCCGACAGGAATTAAAACTGACTGTACGAGTTCTGCTGCGCTGACGTAATATCCCTAAGGGACCGAAGCCTGCCATGAAGGTTAGTAGTTAATTTGAGTAGACTATGGTCTTTAACACGAATCATGTCAAAAGTAAAACCTCATACATCATGGAAATTCTTCGAAGAAATTCTGAGTGATGGTAAAGTAAGTGAGTGAGGTGTGGTGTGGTGTAGTGTGGTGTGGTGTGTGTGTGTATGCTGTAGTGCATTTAACTAAGTACAATGGTACATAAAGCATCCAAGTATTTAATGATTAATTTAGTTTTATGGTCATGCTTTCACAGTGAAAAGTATTCATGAGGTTTTGAGGATTACAGTACTGTACTTGTAAATAAATAGTACTAGCTGGGTAAATTTCAAGACATGTATAATTTTTTATTTAAAATTTTCTATCAACTATTCTATGTCACCTTTCTCACATTCAAAGCAGCAGTAAGGTGCATGCATTTTTTTTTACTAAAGTATTTACTTACCAACCATCTCCAAAACCCCAAATGTTGAATACCTAAATGCAATACTTTAAACTTGTCTGAAGAATCATGCAAGTCAATTTAAGAACTGTAGCCAACACAAAAGGTTACTGTAACACATGTTTACATTAATAAAATTAAGGCTTACTCAACAATGGGGAAAGGAGAAATACAGCATCACAATGTGTAGTAGAAAAAGTAAAGGTATAAATGATAAAAGATGAGAAGTAAACAATAGTCATCAATAAAGGACAACTCATTTTAGCACAAAGGCAAGACTGAGAAATAAAATTTTATTGTTTAAATATGCAAGAAGCTATTTACATACAGTACTGTATTAACATTAAATATTCTACTACTTTATCTTGTGCCAATGAGTTATGTCAGATAAGTTGTATGTGTACTGTACCTATGAAGACAAGTTAAATTACTTTTACACATAGATTACAAGCTCAGGAACTTTACAAGTACAGTACATGTTACATATTAAATAAATGTACAGTTGTACCCCACTTAACGCGGTCAATTGAACCCAGAAGGTCCCGCGTTAAGTGAAATCCGCGTTAAGTGAACAACAGAACATATGGGATTAATTCCAATAGAAACCGGCCTGACCCCCAAACTCCACTTTTTGAAGGCACATACCTATGTTGTAGTAAAAATAACATCTTAATTTTATGATGGTACATGCACACAATTAATACTTAAGAGAAATACAGTCGCCAAGTTAATGTCCATTCAAATAATGGACTCAACTCCCTCCCTCTCTCACACTACACTCGCTGGCTCTTCCCTCTCAGAGAAATTTTTGGGGGAAAACCACTAAATTTTAATAAATAATACCTCAAACTAAAGTTAGGATAATACAATTGACATTGCTGGATTCCTTGTAAGACCAGGAATATTTTGAATATAAATGTCATATATTTTGCACAAAAGATAACATAGTTAATTTGAGAAAAAATTTTATCTAAAATTTGTATGTCTAATGCAAAAATATGATGTTTATATTCAAAATGATCACCAAATTATAAGAATTCCAGCAATGTAAATTATATTCTGGCCGGGTAATTTGTATGAATTTTATGAGCTAAAACAGGCAGTCAGGCAGGGTGGGGCAAATCTAAAAATAGCGTCTCGAGCCGGACACTCACCGCGTATATGTGGAAAAAATCCGTGTTAAGTGAAAGTTCAGCTCTGGCGAGGCACCGCGTATATGATAAAACGCGTTAAGTGAAACCGCGTTAGGCGGGGTAATACTGTACAACCATTCCCCGATTTGCAAAAGGATTGCATTCTTAAAAACCTTTCGTAAATTGAAGCACATTTTCCACTGACTTCCATTATAAAATTTGAGATACAAATGGTCTTAACAAAAATAAGTCTTAAAATGTCACAGAATGATACAAAACATGTTTCTAACCAAAATTCTTTAAAATTTTGGTGTACACAAAGAAATACCTGGTACAGTACTGTATACAGGGTATGCAGTATAGGAGACAAAGTGAACAGTATGAAATGCTAAGCCAACATCTATATAGCAGTAATATCTCTGTTAGCCAGAACCTCTCTTAACCGGAACTCTCCAATAGCCGGAATTGAAATTTTCTCGGAGAATCGTTCCCAAAGCCGTAATTTTCCGGAAAATTCCGGCTTTGAGAAGGATTTTCTGAGGGGCACATTTCCCGGAAAATTCGGAGAAAATTTTCCCAGTACCCGGAAGTCCCGGAAATTACGAGAAAAATTTTCCAGTACGTACCTGGAAAATTCCAGGGATGAGGGATTTTTTTTTCCAGCTTTGAGAGAGTCATCTCGTTACCCAGAAATCTCCCATTATCCGGAAGTGCTCTGTACCAATTGTTCTGGCTAATGGAATATATCACTTTATTACCATAGTAATATATTACTTTCCATTACATAATTGGAGATATAGTTGAATAAAAAAATAAAAAATCCCATACTCAGCCCCTGATGAGTCAACCTAAATTCCCTCAGCTTGGTTTACATGGCACAAATGCTGTGGTTACAGACATCTTGAACTATGATCAACTCTTCAAAGTATCTTGGTTCCAACTAGGTGTGCTTTGTACTCTTTGTTTAATATTGATTTTATTTTGGTTTTACAATGCCCCAGGGGTAGATCCAGTAATATCAAAGGGGAGGGGTCCAAGAAGTTGTGGGTAGGGGATATGGCAAACACAACGAACTCACCCAGCTGGGGGAAGGGGTACTGTAAGCCACCCCCTCCAGAATTTTTTTTTTAAATCTGACCAATATCATGGGCATTTTGAGGCCATTTTTACTATACACAAATGCCTGAGTACAATATTGCATTAAAGAAAAAAGTATTGGAATTTTCTGATCAAAAGGGGGGGGAGGGGGAGTCCAGACCCCTAGGACCCTCCACCTGGATCTGCCTCAGTGGCCTCAAACAAATACAAAATTGATAGTATTGAGTTTAACAATGCTAAAAGGAAACGTAGTGTACCAAGTGTAAAAAAAGAGGAGGGATGGAATTCAGCAAAAACTGAACCAAAGACAGTCTAAATGGAACTTAAAATTCCACAGCACAGACTTTACCATAGGCATTGGCATTAGGTGCCTTAATGCTAGTGGTGACAAAAAAAAGTCAGCACAGACGCAAATGTTCATACGCCAACCACCAGCCACCTGTCCCGAGCTCAGTCAGCTAACGTTCCACTCATCCTCCCTCGTACATTGCCGTCATTCTTCACACCTAAGACTTTACTACACATCCGAATTTCACACTTTCTCTTTCAAATCTACAACTTTATTTTACACAATCAGCATATGAAGTTTAACAATAAAGATTAATATCCTTTTATTTAATTTTCCACTTATTACATGAGAGTAAGTGAGGCTAAATTGGAAAATCAGGCAACTGGCTGAGCGACTGTAGGCATGGTGAGATTGTCTTTGGTGAGTTTGTGGAGTAAATTATAAGGTGATTGTTGGAGAATGATGACACATTGAAAGCTTATTTGTAGACTGAAAACATTGCAAGTGTTAGAGAATAATGAAATAAGTTGGTGAAACAAGTAAGTGCAGTATACAGTACTGGTACAGTAGACTCGCAACTTACGCAAGGGTTATGTTCCTGAGACCTAGCGTAAAGCCAAAAAATGTGTTACGTCAGAAACACTCCTAAAAATCCCCTAAATCGCCCTTAAATCACTACGTATATGTACGTATACACTAGAACTCATTATTCACTACTGTAATGTAATACAGGTCCACAATCCCTTTTCCCTTATTTGAGGTGTGTAATGTCTACATTCAAATTATTCGCTATCTTGCAAGGATTCCAGCACTGCAAATTATATTCTCCTAACTTTAGTCTGTGACATTTTATAAGAAAAAAAATTTAAGCCTAAAACTACCTTCACCCCTGGGAAGGGGGAGGTATTGTGTTGACAGCCAGGCAGGGAAGGGGGGTATTCATTAGCCGGCGGGGACATTAACCCTGTGTGTCTTATCTGTCATATAGAGGAGTTTAAGTTTTTCGCTTATAAAATGTCACTGAACTGATCTGGGAGAATATAATTAACATTGCTGGAATTCTTGTAAGACAGTGATTAATTTGAATATAAACAAGCTATAGTTTGCACTAGACAAAAATTTTAGTAATTATTTAGTACATTTGAGTACAGTACAGGTTTACACTCAGAACAATTATTTCTTTTACTTTTTTTAGGATGGTGTGTGCAAGTAAATGAGTAAAAAATAAATAAAGAAAGTTATGTAAATCTACCCAAAAATACAATTGAAAAACTTGTACATTACTAAAATGTACAACACTAATGTACTAAAATTTTTATCTCTTGTGCAAACTATATGATGTCTATATTCAAATTATTCACTGTCTTGCAAGGATTCTAGCAATGCAAGTTATATTCTGCTAACTTTAGTCTGTGATATTTTATAAGATAAAAACTGTAAGTCTAACGCCACCCAACCCTGGCTGGGAAGATGGGGGGTGATGTGTTTGACAGCTGGCCCAGGGAGGTCTAGTGAAGTATTTATTTATTCATATATTTATTTATTTATTTATTTATTTATTAATTATCTGTCCTTTACAGCGAGTTTTTGTTTTTTGCTTATAAAATGTCACTAAAATAACCTGGGATGATATAATTAAAATTGCTTGAATTCTTGTAAGATAGTGATTAATTTGAATATAAACATGGTACAGTTTGCACTAGACAAATTTTTTTTTTATTATTTAGTACATTTGAGTACAGTACAGGTTTGCACTTAGAAAAATTATTTCTTTTACTTTTTCACAATATGCATTTAGGATGGTGTGTGTATGTAATTGAGTAAAAATAAATGAAAAAAGTTACGTATATCAAGCGGGGATGGAGAGTTTGGCGGGCTAGCGTTTGGCACGCTTACAACCCATTTTGAAAAATTTTTGCTCAAAATTGGAAATTGTAACCTAACCCCTGGGGTAATCCGCGTATAGTTGAAACCGCGTAAGAAAAATACTCGTAAGTTGTGAGTCTACTGTGTTATAAAAACTGCACGCACGCATGGGCGGGCACACACAGAAGGACTTACAAACTTCCGCCGATACGAATGGGGTTAAATTTTAAATTTACAGTATTTTATTTACCTAACTTAGATTTTACTTTCATTTATTGTATTTTGTCATTCTATTTCCTATTTTCTCTTAAATTAAGTGAGTTTAGATGTATATAAGGACTTAGGCTATGATATAGTGGGATTTAAAAAAAAATTATGTAAGTAAGGTATGCATAATGCATATAGCATGTGTTCCAACTTACGTACAAATCTGACTTAAGAACGTGCTCAGGAAGAGTACCCGTTTGTTACACGGGGACCCCCTGTATATGAGGCACTGAGTGCGACAAGGTACCAAACGCCAGAAATCACAATCAAGAAAAACGCTCTTAAAGTTTGGAAAATTCAAAATTACGTAACTTTTGAACCAATGAAGATATTGAGTTAATTCAAGTGGCAGTGTGTATAGCTCTTAAAGCTGGTTTTGCAGATAATAAAGTCATATTAATTAAAAAGATTGCATTGTTTTTGCAGCTTCATTAATATGCATTGTTGAGGTAAAATTTTCATAACATGGAAGCAATAATATATTAAGACCACACCAGAAGGTCAAAGGTCATTGTATTGTTTGCATAAAAGCAAACAATTCCAGGTATTACCAATATTTTGACCGGGGCCAAGCACCAAAAAGTATAATAAAAAAAAAAAGTACGGGTACTGAAGTCTTAGTTATTACAGTACAGTCATGCGCCGGTTAACGTCCGACCGAACAATGTCCGATCGCATATACGTCCGTGGCCCCTCCCCCCCAAAAAATAAAAGAAATCCGTGACACCTGCTGGACCACCACTCCACGATCCCCTGACAGAGACACGATGATCCTCCCCATACTGGTCAGATATTATGTGTTAAAGGAATATGCTTCCTTGATTAGGCTTTTTTTAAACATTTGCCTACAGGTGTAATGTTAAACTACATCTATTGAGGATAAAATCTTTCACCTACAAATTGACAATAACACATTTGCTGTAATCAGACATATGTAGTTGCCTCAACAAAGGCAACTCCAGTTGCAATTGGGGTTGCAATTTCAAATTCTGTGTCATTACTACGAAATAAAGAAGTCTCTGGTGTAATGCACTCTAAGATTAAGAGAAAATGGACGACTCAGGAGTCCTGAAGTGAGAGAAAACGGACTCCTCTGACGGGGCACTCAAATAAAGAGACATGGCTACATGTTTTGTGGACTACCCACTGTACAGTGTTGATGGTATATTTTTCATCACTTTTTAATAAACCTAGTCATGCCTATGTGTGTTTCTGATTATTACCATAACATTATATATTTATATATTTAGCGGTTGTACAAACACAAGGCCTCACACATGCCACTCAAACTGACAGACTTGACAAGTTTTACCAACCATGAAGACAGTTGAAGCTTTAATCATCACTCACAATGAATCTTGAATATTCCAACTGTAATCAGACATATCTAAGTTGCCTCAACAATTGCAACCCCAGTTGCAATTTCAAATTCTGTGTCATTACTAAGGAATAAATAAGTGTCTGGTGTACTGCACTCTAAGGTTAAGAGAAAACGGACAACTCAGGAGTCCTAAAGTGAGAGAAAACGGACTCCTTTGACGGGGCACTTAAATAAAGAGAGACCTAGCTACATGTTTTGTGGACTACCCACTTTACATTATCCTTTTCATCACTTTGTAATAAACCTAGCCATGCCTATGTGTGTTTATGATATTTACCATAACATTATATATATACAGTCAACCCTCACTTTACGCGGTCCCACATTCCGCGTTTCCACGTTTACGCGGTGCCCTGCCAGAACCCAGGATGCTCACATTCCGCGGTGGGTGTACCCCTTTACACAGGTGAAGTATAATTTTTTTATTTAGCTCATAAAATTCATACAAATTATCAGGCCAGAATATAACTTACATTGCTGGAATTCTTACAATTTGATGATCATTTTGAATATAAACATCATAGATTTTGCATTAGACATACAAATTTTAGACTAATGTTTACTCTGAGTAAATATGTTATCTTTTGTGCGAAATATATGACATTTATGTTCAAAATATTCCTGATCTTACAAGGAATCCAGCAATGTCAATTATATTATCCTAACTTTAGTTTGAGGTATTATTTATTACTAAAAAGGTAAACATTCTGGTTTTCCCACACATTTATCTGGTAGGGAGGGACGACCAACCATCTGGCATGGTGTGAAGAATATTTTATTTTTTTTTATTAACTGAAGATATTTGTTTTAGCTCATAAAATTCATACAAATTACCCGGCCAGAATATAATTTACATTGCTGGAATTCTTACAATTTGATGATCATTTTGAATATAAACATCATAGATTTTGCATTAGACATACAAATTTTAGATCTACTCTAAGTATTTTGTTTACTCTGAGTAAATATGTTATCTTTTGTGCAAAATATATGACATTTATATTCAAAATATTCCTGGTCTTACAAGGAATCCAGCAATGTCAATTATATTATCCTAACTTTAGTTTGAGGTATTATTTATTACTATACCTTAAAATCTAGTGGTTTTCCCCCAAACATTTCTCAGAGAGGGAAGAGCCAGGAGTGTGAGAAGAGGGGGAGGGAGTTGAGTCCATTATTTGAATTGACATTAACTTAGCGACTGTATTTTTCTTAAGTATTAATTGTGTGCATGTACCATCATAAAATTAAGATGTTATTTTTACTAGAACATAGGCATTGTGTCGGAAAAAGTGGAGTTTGGGGGTCAGCCGGTCTCTATTTCATTTAATCCCATATGTTAGGTTATTCACTTTACGCGTTTCTCACTTTCCGCGGTACCCTGTGGGTTACATTAACCGCGTAAAGTAAGACCTAACTATATATATATATATTTAGTGGGTCTAAATGGTTGTAAAATGGGAAACTTGGGGTTGGGTGCCTGGAACCCCCATTAGAATAAATCCGATAGGTTTATGTAATTTCGGACAACGTCCATTTCGGTTAACATTACGTTTCCAAGAACGTATCTAGGACGTTAACCGACGCATGACTGTATTAGAAAAATTACAGTAAACAATGACTTGTATTACCAATATTACCACCCACCCTCGCTCCCAACCGCCGCCTCCTCCACTCTGTTTTCCCCCTTTGGTGTGATAAGACTCGTCACTCGGACAGGCCGGAATATGACACTCCACGTGCCACTAGCCCTCACTCCCACTCTCCCTTCTCTCCATTTTGTTTATTGTTCTCTCAATGGCCCTCACTCCCTCCTTTCTGCCAGTTGGAAAATAAAAAAAGGTTCAAGTCTTATTACATAGCATTCCTATGACATTTTTGTAGAAACATGGACTCCCATTAGCTAAGAAACCGTAGTGAAATACTGAGTAGCTATGAGCGAGAGAGGCTACGAATGGGGGCCACGGGTGCTTGTTCCCCTCTCCCCTTCAATCTGCCTCGAAGCACAGATCACATACTGTAGAGGCGCTTTTACCTACCTTTACTAATATGGCTCTCAGCCTTACAAATACTGTATTGCACTACTGGGGCAGTTTGTTTTTCTGCAGATAGAGGAAAGGTTGAGGAGTACTACAGATTATACTATAACTCAATTTTTTAAGGGGGGTGGGGGGTGGAGCTTGGTACCTTGTCGCACTCGGTGCCTCATACAGTCCATTCAAAATTACCACATAATACTACAGAAATACGCTACAAAAAAATATTCCTTTATACCACTTCCACATTCACAAAATACCTATTACCCCTTCGAAAAATTATCTTCACCAAGGGTACTGACAAGTTACAGTTATCCCCCGATTTACGATCTCCCAATTTGCGATATTCCGCTTTAAAGAAGGTGATATATTAAAACCATCCCCCTATGTACGATGTAAACAATTCACATTAACAATGGTTATTGTCTGGCCAACGTGGAATACGAAACGCATCTCTCGGTGCACTGATCAACTGAGGCGTCATTTACACGTGCACTGCCATGCTGCCACCCAGTGCACTACAGTACCAAGCTTTGTTCCATGGTGATAACAGATGGCCACGATAGTGTAGCTCAGTGATTATCGGTCATTATAGGTGTTTACTTATCATTGACTTTTTTTTTTCCTTACAGTGACTGTTAAAGTACTTTGCCTCTGTTGTTGTGAACAAAATGTGAGCATTGTCAACCATTATCATTGTTTTTAAATTCTCATCATTCGCTCAGTTTTTGTGAGAAATGCTTTCGCTCTGTTTTTGTGACTGTGAAGTGAGCAGTGTAACTTTGAAAATGTTTGGGAAGGTCAAGGTATCCAAGACAACCATGTATCTGAGGTGAAGCTTGACACTGTGAAGCAGCATTAGACTACCCAGAGGCAGTGTGGGAGTCAGAGTGACATCTTCACTCCACCTTTAAGAGTCCCCTTATCCTCAAAGGGGACATGTAATGACAACCGGGCTTGTTCTTAATGATGTGTTGAGTGCTGATTAATTGTGTTGTAGGTATAGCAGTATTGTAGGAATTTTATTTTTGGTGCTACATGTGGGTGTCAGACTGGCTGGGAACACATCTTATTGAACCCCATGTTATAATGATGCCAATCTATGATATTTCAACTTACTATGGGATTTTCAGGAACCCAACCCCATCATAGATCGGGGGATACCTGTAAAGTGATCATTTCATCAAGTACAGGCAAATAATGGCCATTTAAACCTACCTGCAATAGGATCAAACCTGCATCATTTGGGTTCTGAGTCCAGAGCATTATCCCATATTTTAGATAAAGTACCATTCGTTCCAGATAAAGTTAATAGCATTTTAATTCTAATTTGACCCACTTAACCTAAAAGATATATCTCCATAAACTTACCTTTGCCAAAATGACCAGAGTTTTCGAGAACATCCTGAGAGCGCTGAAGACTATCATGGATGAGGTTTTCCTCTAACTGACCTTGTGACTCAAACAGCACGTACTTGACAATCAAGGCAACAAGAATCACCGTGAACACAATGTGGTCCAGCCCTGCATTCAACAACCTATACATAAAATAATTAAAATGTACACATTATATGTAACACAGTTTCAAGACATGTAAAATAATGATAATCTATGAATGTTTAAGAATGGAATAATGTTGTGTAAAATAATTTAAAAGGTTAACAGAATTCAAATAATCTACATCTTCCTAACTTTTCTTAAATTTCAAATAAGATGCTTCATATACTGTAAAATTACCCCTAAACACTTCAGCTCCTACAGTTCAATGCTTTCATATGACAGACTCAAACGTGGTGATTGAACTCTGTTGAAAATACTGCGTAGTTGTCAGGGCTTACATTGGAAGTTTTAATTTATCACTGAGAAACAATAGCCAACTTTGCAATTTACCTACCAAATACTGTACAGTATAAGTAAGTAGTCAACCCTCGCTTTACGCGGTCCCACTTTATGCGTTTCCACATTTACGCGGTACCCTGCCGAACACGGAATGCTCACTTTCCACGGTGTGTGTACCCTTTTACGCGGAGAGTGGCGCGAGCAGGGTGCGCACAAGGTCGCCCAGTCATCAAAACATTACTGAGTTCTTCACCCGCCACCCACCACAGCCGGCCCAAGTCAGTGATAGTGATAATGATAGTGAGGATATGGACTTATATGGACTTTGAGGGGTTTGACAAAGAGGCCCTGCAAGCCTCTGTGGTGGATAGTGATACAATTGATACAAGTGATACAGGTGAGGGCCAATAATCTGCCCTCTGCCTCGGAACCAACCCCCCATCCCCGTATGCCCAGCCATCTTTTCTACTAATGTAAATGTTAAAAAGCCTAATATTATTGATATTTCTCTTAATTATTAATTGTGTGTGCATACCATCATAAAATTAAGAAGTTATTTTTACTACAACGTAGGTATTGTGTCTGAAAAAGTGGAGTTTGGGGGTCAGCCCGGTCTCTATTTCAATTAATCCCATATGTTATGTTGTTCACTTTACGCGTTTCTCACTTTACGCGGGCCGCCGTGGGTTCAATTGACCACGTAAAGTGAGGGTTCACTGTATAGTTTACAACAGATTAGTCTATATTTTGAAGAACTGCACAAATGTGGCAAACTTACAAAAACTGCCAATGCAAAATGTGGCAAGTGAAAGTGTGGGCTGTGTTAAGTGAAGAAATCTTTACTTGTCTACCTCCACATGTACTCTCTCACCAAAAACTTCTCGAATGCTATAAAAACAATGCAATCTAAAAAATGAACGAAGAATCTGAAACTATTCCGAGATAACAAGCCCCTTTCCACCCATTCTCACATCCATCGTGCCCAGATGTTCAAGAGGTTTTTGTTGTGAGTGTACAATACTGTCACTTAATGTCTTGGATCTTTTGCAACTCAAAGTACACCAAATACCCCTGAGTATACAGTATAGCACATCTGTATCTTACACAGACTTTAACCATAAATTAATCACTCATTTCACAATTGAGTCCTGTCCAGGTTTTACTGTTTCCAGAGGCACTTTATTGCTTCAAGTAGCTTACCTCCCAGTACACACTTTCAGTGCCCTCCACAATTAATGCATTCACAAACACCATTTCAGTTTCCAATTTCTTTCCAACTTAATATTCTCACTATAAATTTCTTAACATATAACCTCACACCTCAGATGAGGGTCTACCATACCTTCCCACTGGCAAGACAATAACAAGGTGAGCATTCATGCTGCTTTTTAAATACCAGTGGTTAAACAAGGATTCTATTTTCTCCACCTTTAACACAAAAGCATCATGACAAGGAGGCTAAATATACATGAATACCAACTAACACAACAATAGACTTCCCCATTTACCTGCCAACAGGACAATACATTTGTTTTATCACCATTTCTGATCTGACAAGCAGTTATTTCTAGACCACAAAAATCTAAATAATTAATTAATTAAATAAAACTCTTTCCCCTTCTGAATACAAATTATATATTTTAGAGATAATATGACCCTAGGCAGTGTTTTCAGCTAAACTAATTAAATAATATAGAGTAAAATTACAGACAATTGATATGTGAACAATATGTAGACCAATATTCAGGTTAATGGATTTGTTATTTCTCATATACAGTACCTACTTTCTTTTCATACTTAAACCTTAATTATAACAAATTAAACACTAGAAACTCATCATCATGATCATTTTCAGGATGACATGTAACTATATGTCTTAACATCAACACTAAACATAATTTAACTTATGTTTTTGACAGAAAGATTGTGATTGTGAAAGTTTCCTTATTCTTGTATGCCTTTCCCTGCTATGCTGTGGCCAGAACTAAAAACAGTCCTCCCACCCACTTACTGCTATAAAATCTCCACAAACCACTGACTGTCATGCATTCCAATCACTCATGCACTTTTTTGCTTTCTGGTCTCCATTCCTCTCATTTCTAGTACAGGTTGTACCTCTCTAGTCCGACAACCTCAGGACCTGACCGGTGCCGGACCATGGAAATTTCCGGACCATGGAAATTCACCCTTTTCCTGGATAGATAGGGACTTGTGCTTACGCTTGGAAGTACAAGCACCACTTTCACTGCTTCGTGGTCTCTTTGAAGACATATTGAAGGCTTAAATGTTGTACAGTAGGTTCTCAAATTTCGAGTTTTTAATTCAACATTTTTTATTTACACAAAAAAAAAACACTACACAATTTAAAATTTCGACGGCGGAAACTTGAATTTCGACGGGTTTGAGCAGGCTGCCAATGTTCAGACGTGCACAATCGTGTAAACCGTCATTTCTCTTATGTACAAAAGATTCATTATTGTTTATTACTGAATGTCTTTTTGATTGAATTAATGTTTATGTGTGCAAAATGAACAATACAATTCATTAATAACACGTGGAATATTAAAACACATGTGGAGACGAAACAACATTGTTTTCGTTAATGTTTACAAAACCAGTGACTGATTGGTTCTACATATAAAACTGAAGAAAATAAGACCCTGGTTGTAGCTGTAGTAAAATTAATGTAAAAAAATTAATATGGTTGTTTTAAGTAATGTTATTTAACGTCAATAAATGGAACAATATTAGTAGCTAACCTTTAATGGTAAAGAAAAAAAGTGAGATCGCGTATGTAAGCGCACATGTGAAAACATATCGTCATTACTCTACATAAGAATATGAAAGCAACACTTATTTAATGTTCATATATATTTCAATTAATGTTTGTGAATTTAAAACAAAACTTCTACCCACCAGTGGTGGTAAAGTTGAAACATAAGGACAGCCAATGTTGTTGCGTGTGTTTTTACTCGGATGACGAAGTTGCCAAGTCATCAGGTTAAACTCTAGCTGAAGCTGTAGAAGATAAGAACTTTTTCTGTGTTGTTTTTAGTTTAAATTTAACTTTGTGTTATTTTCGTTGGTTTATTAAGATGCTGTTTTATTACAGGTAGTAATTCGCCCAAAAAGTAGGGTAAATAAGGCAAAATTCAGCCAAATATTGAAAGTACCAGACTAGAGAGGTACAACCTGTAGTTCTTTTGCCCAATACTTCCAATTTCTTTTTGGTGTTCAAGTAACAATAAAAATAGCTTTACAAACTACAGTTGACCTCTCTACTATGAAACTATGCACAATAAGAAGACCCAAGATTAATTTCACACTTAACTGAAAAATCTGTGGCTCATGGGAAATCAGGAAATGTATGGACGTTCTTAACCTTTAGACTGAGGCTACTGAACAACAGCCTTACCACGGTAAACACAGTAAATATGAAAAATAGAAAATAAAATAAAAATATTTTATATTTCTAAAAAAAAAAAAAACTGCATAAAGAAGAATAAAAATTAAAATATTAAAGAGTGTAATTTCATTTGCTCAGATGTGGAGAAGTGTTTAAGTGAGCATGTGAGGGCACAGCTACTACTAGGAGGGAGGTGGGAGGAGATGAAGGTAGTAGAGGGGTACAGACTACAGACTGCCACTAAAGATTATGAATGTGCATCTTCCATGACGACAAAAGCAACTAAGAGCCCAAACGATGGTGACAATTTATGAATGCTAATACTGGCATGTAATTTTAGATAATGGCTGTTCTCATGTGAGGGACACTGCAGTTAAGAGTTAAAAGGACAATCAGACACCCAATATTGCAATACATACAGTACAGACTTGGGGGATACCTACGGAATTTACCTACAAAAGTACATCTAAGGATTACGGGAATTCAGAATACAGCACTGTATGTATAATTTCCTCGAGTTATATATCTTCAATTATAAGGAATCAAGTGGAAAATCACTAACAATCCAAGGGCATAGCTGGTGCTGGAGTAATTGCATAATAAGAGCATCCCCTGCTTATTTCATTTTGAAAAAGCACATCTTGCGATCACACACAGTTAGAAAATATATGGTTCCAAGGTTTATCTTAAACCCTATCATCATTGTGAGAAATCATTCAAAGGTTAACGATAATTTAGAAAATACAGTAGTACAGTATACAGGTGTACTGTATTTTGTACATGATTTCCTAACACAGGAAATTTCACACAGACAACAATTGGTAATCCAAGGATGGTATTGCAGACATTATAAGCTGCATAAAACAATTTGACTTTCTTCTTATTTCATCTTTCAGGGAAGCAATTAAGTTCAAGAGAGACAAATTACACAATAAATTCCAAACAAAAATTATGCAACTTGCAGGGGGGGGAGGGGATCATGATTATTTCAGCTTTAAATTATACATCTAGGGACCATAGGAATTAAAAAACAAATTATATAATGATCCTAAAATCCCACTTCATAAAGCCAGAATTGGGCGACTTATGGTCCCAGTTTGCGGGTCTAAACCCACGATTCCCAGACACTCCCCACTTATGAGTGGGCTATATACTCTAGAAATCTAGGAAAACTCAAAAACAAGAACTCCCTCCAACTCATCACAAATCTTACATCAGTCTTAATTTTTTCTACAACCTCTCATCACCTGAAACCTCCTCGAGTCTTTCGTTCTGTAAAATCAACTTTGTCAATCATAAATTTTGCACCGAGCTATTTCTAGTCTTCTGTACTTCAAAGGTTCGAGCTTCACTTCTATACATCAGAATGATTCAGATCACATCTTTCAGTATCCTTTGCCTTATCTCAAGACTCATTAACTCCAGCATTTAATATAACACATCTGAACTAATCTCTTTATACATTTTTCATTTGGGGATTCGTTTTCCATACGACAACAATTCTCAGAGAATTTGATACACACCTGACAATAACATGAGGGTCACTGGAATAGTTGGATGAAGCAGCTTCATTCATCATTGTAATTGTGTTCGGTGCCAAGGAGAATGACCAGCGAGTTATACCATGAACTAGTAGAAGCCCAGCAGACATGATGACCTAAGGTGATGAAACAACATGGAAAGGTCATATTATCAATACAGGATGTGACAAATAGGCGTTACAGTACAATCATTGTAAATGTGACACCTCCGTTAACCGGAACAATTGGCGAGGAGCACTTCCAGGAATAAGAGATTTCCAGGTAACGACGACAACTCTCTCAGAGCCGGGAAAAATCCCTCATCCCCAGAATTTTCCCTAATTTCCCCTTTAACAGAAAAATATTCTCGGAAGTTCCAGAATGATACTTTACATCATCTCTTGAACCCGGAAAACTATCTTCCATCCCCAAAATTTCCCGGACACTGGAAAAACTTTCTCAAAATTTTCCGGAAAATGTGCCCCTTGGAAAATCGTTCCCAAAGTTGGAATTTTCCGGAAAATTACAGCTTTGGAAAAATTTCAATTCCGACTATCAGAGATTTTCGGGTTTGAGGGATTCCGGCTAACGGAGACATTGCTATATTGTAATTTAATCTTTACACCATTGTCTACCAGGGTAGCTCATGCAACACCCCTTTCCCTCAAAATCATCTCAGTATGTCTCTCTTTAGAATCCAAAAGATAAGGTACTGTTTAAAGTAGTATATATTACCTTTACCTTCAACATTCCCCTGAAGTTTTCTAATTATTTAAATCTTTTTAAGTCATGCTGTGCTCAAATACCTTCATCTTGTACATAATCACCGTGATCACTTCTCCCCCACACAGATGAATAGGGGATATTCCAGTGGGGATATCTCAGCTACTCTTGTATCATTTCTGCCCAACAATTATATCAACTTTTCATCATCTTTTGGAAATTGGCATGTTCATTTATTTTATTTATTTTTTTTTTTTACATTAAATTTCCTGTCTTTCTCACTGACAATTTTGTTCCTGACTGCCTTAAACATTACCAGCTTAACCCTTAAGCCCTGGGTTAGGGTGATACTGGCAGTACCCCCCATGGGGTTAAATCGAGAAAAAAATCAACTTTTCCAAAAATATTAAAAAAATAACTAAAAATAAAAAAAATAAATAAAAAAAAGGGGGGGAAATAGGCGGACGTCCTGGATTGTCACCCAGGGCGTGCGAGTCGGACGTTCTGGAACGTCACCTGGGGCCTATGGGTTAAACATCACATATACAGTACAGTAGTCAAATATAATTCCCACCTAACCCACAAACTTAACTGACAGACTGTATACAGTGGCCTTGCGAGTTTTGCAATGGCTATGTTCTGGGGACCCCACACAAAACTACTGATCATGCACTGGCTCCTGAATGTACCTGAACCTGCTCCAGTGCTTGTCAAGTCTGGTCTTGAAAGAGCTCACTCTCTGGCAGATTGTTCAAAGAGTTCACAACTCTCACTCTGAAAAAGTTACCCCTCACAGTTTTCTGGGCTTGTGGCTTCTTCACCCTTAGCTGTGACCCCTTGTGGGGCGAGCGTCCACCAGCTCCAAGTCAGGACACTCAACTAAGTAGTGCCCTTGGAGATATTTATACACCTCAATTATGTCCTCCTTGCCCGTCTGTAGTATAAGCTAGGCAATTGCAGGCGCTCTAATCTCTCAGGGTATTTGAGGTGCCGAAATGCAAGCACCAGTCTGGTGGCCCCCCTCTGGACATTTTCAATCAACTGACAGTACTCCAGATGGGGAAGCACCTCACTCTTGAAGAACATTAACACTTAAGCCCCGGGTTACGCACGCACGCACGCACACACACACACTGCTGCAGAAGGAATATGTGAACTGGCAGTCATACAAACAACTGCTCACACAGCACTTACACAATGTATTTATACACCTAGTTTTACGAACATGGTGTTTCATGCACATCTTCATACCATGTGATTTTTTTTTCTTCTTGACCAACCCAGTGTCATTTTACCATGCAAGGATGGCACTTCGTAGTTCAAGGTTATTATTTTATTATATGGCTTCAGACTATTGTGAACTCACCAGTAGTGCCGTCATAACCTTGCCAGCCCATCATTTTTGTTTCCGTTAATTTGAGTTTAACTTCAGATGTGATATCTTTATTCTTTAAAGGTTAATATTGCTTCCAGCAAACTCAATCTAATGTCTGGCAATTTAACTTTTTACTTATCTCAATGAAATGCAAACCTCTTCATTTGAAGATATTTTTTTTCTTTGGGTTTTTGTGATTTCCAGTTTTTTGTACCAAATTTCAGTCTCATTTTATCAAATTTATGTATTGAATTGAATTGAATTTTAACAGTTTATTTAGCCAGAAAAATACAGATACAGAGTGGATAATAATAACAATATTAACATGGCTGAGCCAGTTGAGAACCTGAGCTCTCTTTGTTATTACAGATTTGTGTCTTCGATAGTTACAATTGTAAATGTTACAACCCTGACACGTAAGGCATTTATGGCTAGGAATTCAGACTCTCAAACCCCGGCTGTAGATTCCTCAGTTTAGCTATATAGCACATTTTATCTTTTATAACATGGATAGGCATCCATAGGTGTTATGTTATACAGTGGTCCCTCGGTTAATGAGCGCCTCGGTTAACGAGATTTCAGTTAACGATTTACCTTCCATAAGATTGTTAACTTCGGTTAACGAGCAATCCCTCGATTAACGAGTTTTTTACGAGCAGACTTCAACATGTTTTCGCTTGCATTTGGCGGTCCACCAGCTGTAGTATTAGTCCGCCAATACAGTAATCGGTTTTAGGGCTTAAATTCCTTACTATTTTAGTAAATATCAAGAAGTTTATACAATTCAATAATTTTAAAAGTTTAATATTAACTTTTTTAGTCATTTTAACAATTATTGAACATAATTGAAGGTAAAGAAACTAGTTTCTGACGTGCCATCCAGCCTGTTTACACACCAGACAGGCGTTAGTCTCTCTCTGTTTTCAGTGGAGGTAACATCTTGCTTGAGACTCTCTTCAACTAAACGCTTTTTTTCTGTGTTTCCAAGCAAATTATTGGTCATTTTGAAATATATTTTACATATTGACAATAAATAATGCAGTGCAGTGTTGATTTAAAGAAAATAATCTTGAAATACACCAAGAGAACTAAAATTTTATGGGTGAAATGGTGCCATGGGGTGACTTCTCTTCCACCCCAATGCCTTCTCTTCTTCCTTCTCCTCCACCCCCATTCTAATTCCCATCATCATCATCATCATCCAGGAGCCTTCTACATGCACACCTCAAAGTAAGTGTACTTTTCCACCTTTTTTGTTGAATTTAGGCAATTTTCGGTGAGCTGGAACCAATTACCCAAAAACCCATTGAAACAATGGTTTCGGTTAACGAGTTTTTCGGTTAACGAGCAACCTGCTGGAACGGATTGTGGTCGTTAACCGAGGGACCACTGTACTCCGTTGTTAGTTTACTCCTCCTAGAACTTGGAGGGTGGTGTCCGAGCAATGTATTAGCCCAACTACCAGACAGTAATACTTATATAAATGTGGGTTACATACATTAGGTTTATGTAATTATATCATCCATGGTAGATTTCCTGCAGAAAGATCCAGCAAGACCAGAACAGTGGACTTTTCTGTGCAAGTGTTTATTACCAAATCATTATGAATTTGTCACAAGACAGTTTCAGTTGTATGATGCGTCCTATAGGCTGACTGGACCAGAAGGATCACTCCAATTCCCTCAAACAAAGCAAGTAACTGATCCAGCATAGCACACTCTATGATCTTTGATAAGAATGAGAGATTAGAGAAAAAACGATAATTTGACATTTTCCGTTTCAAGACCAGGCTGCCTACATCTAACATTATAATAGATACAGAATGTCCTCTTAAACTATACAACAGTATGAGAAGTACTTTTCTTCATATCTGATCACCTAACAAATTACCATCCTTGACAAAAAGTATGCATTAACCAATCAAATTAGTTTTATTCATAAAGACAACCTATTTATACAATAATACCACAAAATCTCTAATTACTCCAATAAAAAAAATTAATCTGCCAGTATTATCCCTTCATTGGGAAGGGTAGATGTATCCAACGGGAGAAAGATTATAATCTTTGGTTGAAGTAAATAACGATTTGACAATGCTTGTTTTGTTTTGATTCCCCGGATGGTTGTTTAGAATAATCATCCAACTTAAAACTTTCTGTAAATTTTGTTTTAACTTTCTATATTCATTTCTATATACTGTACAGTCCTGTACAAACTTAAAAAAAAAAAAAAAAAAAAAAAAAAAAAAAAAAAAAAAAAAAAAAAAAAAAAAAAAAAAAAAAAAAAAAAAGGGCCACAATAGGTCCGTGAGAACCCACTCTTGAAAGGGTTAATGATACTGGAATCTAGAACATATTTAAAGTTGTAGTTTAAATATACTGTATGTCTAACTTAAAAGCAAATAACAACAAGTTAGACAAGTTCAGTACCTTGACACGCTGGACAACAGGGTTTGGCTTTTCTTCCTCAACCATAGCACGTGCCAGTGTTGCCATCTGCCATGGAGGTTGTCCAGAGGAACACCTGTTCGATAGCTGAAATATACAATTATATTCATATACTCTACTTAAAAAATCTGAAAGATTACTGATCATTTTTACATGGGAAGCACTTTGGGTTTTACCAATGTAAATGGGTAACTAGCTTTACAGTTGCAGAAGTGAAGACGGTCGAGTGCACTGCTAGTCAAGATTAATCATTGTGTACAGAGAACTTACAAAATAAGAGTATATGTCTCCTGTTTCATTTTCTTTTCATCGTTTGTCTTTGACAATGATCCTTCACCACTTCTACCTTTAGATCTTCAAACAAGCTTTGTGCCTTAGCTTGTGTAACAGCCAGACTGAGAGATACATTATGTTGGTTCTAGTTGTCCACCCAAATTGAGAGAAGCCATTCTATATTCTCCATTAACCGACTTATGAACCTGCTAATTTTCTTGGTACTAAGAGATGTAACACATAGATCACTGACCCTAATATTCTCAGCACTGCCCTGAATAGATCTTACCATGGTGGGAGGCATACCTAGAGTGACACCTAAGAGAACAAGTTACTCACCAATATCAAACCACCTAAAAACCTCCTATTCGGTACCCAAATAAATGTTTTTCCCAATTTTCTTCATGCAAAGTCACTTCCTGGGGAGTTTAAGAGGAATGATATTGGGAACAGATGAACCAAAGAGTACATCATCCTACAAACTCAGCATATTTCTGTGAGGTAAAAATGTATACGGTGTCATGAAAACACTAACTGAAGCAGGAACTCTTCTTGGGGCCAACACTGCCAAATGGGCCACCAAAACACAAACTTAGATATGCAATAAGAGATGATGGCCAACGACAGTACTGTATAACGAAACAGACACCTTTCCTAACAGAACAATGACAAATGGGGAGATATATAGCAAGGATTCCTGTAATACATAATACCTGTATAGTGAGCATAAGAGCTACTACTGGATAAAACCTTTAATCTAATTCCCCTTCTGAGTTAAATCTAACAAGTGTTGACTTTAAAGTGAAATTAAATATTTTCATCTTCATCTTCACTTTACCTCTAAGACAAGCGAGAGGCAGGCGGGGAAGAAGGTCATGAAGACGATGTAATTCACCAAAATGGACAAGCAGGCAAAGGCACACATCTGCTCCAGACGACTCACACCTGGCAATATCACAAGCATATTCATTATCTGGCTATTCATTCACAAAGTATCATTAGCATCTCATACTATTTTTTTAAATAATAATAGGAACTGTTTAGCATAATATATCAAACATAACTACTGTTAAAATATCTATTATCCTAAAACCTTGAGGGTGAGGAAATAAAGAGCATATAAAAATCTAAAGAATAATCTTTATGTCCTAAGTGATTCAGTGGAAGAAAATATATACCAGAGAAAGACAGATGAAAGCCATACAAACACAAAAGCAAACTCACAAGTAATGTACAGTTTAACGCTCACCTGCATAACAATAACTCGTTTTTCACACATTTTTTTTTATTTGCGGTTTACTGATTTTGTATGCAGTTGAATCAGCTCGCGAACGAGTTTCCACAAAAAAACCCAAAAAAAACAGGTCATTGCAGCAGAGTGCAGCTTCCTGCCTCTCCTCTGTCTCACTCATGTCCACTGCCATACTATGTATACATCTCGCTGCGACCCGTGTGTTTTGTGCTCAAAAATCTTATCAATGTTCCAAAACATCCTTCAAAAGGTGGCGATATGGAAGATAACACACCAAAGAAGCCTAAGAGAGATACAGCAATATTTCTGTTAGCCAGAATCCCTCAAACACAGAGCTGTCCAATAGCCAGAATTGAAATTTTCTCAGAAAAACGTTCCCAAAGTCGGAATTTTACGAAAAATTCTGGCTTTGGGAATGATTTCTGGGTTCAAGAGATAATGTAATGCATCATTCTGGAACTTCCGAGAACATTTTTCAGTTATCCGGAAAATTCCAGAAAATTACGAGGATGAGGGTTTTTTTTTTCTTCCAGCTTTGAGAGTCCTCTCATTACCCTGAAATCTCTCATTTCCGGAAGTGCTCTGTACCAATTGTTCTGGCTAACAGAGATATCGCTAGAAAAGTGTTGACTTTATTAGTGAAAGTCGAAATAATAAAGAAACTTCAGAGCAGCATGAGCTATGCAGCATGTGCTAGGGCATATGGGATGAATGAATTAACAGTTTGCTACAGATTAATCATTGCCATCATCTCATTCAATCATCATCATCTGCTGTGATGTACCAGGGGGAGAGTTGAGAGGGAGAATCAAGAGGAAGGAACAACATACCTGGTCAATACAGTATTCCATATGCAGTATGTTGTATTTTTTAGGTATGTAATATGTTAAATAATTTTTATTGGAGTCTTTATTATGTTCTCTTTACATGTTATTTCATGAGTGAGAGAGAGAGAGATTTACTGGTCATTAGAAACATGTTTTGGACCATACAAGTGATCAGGGAGAGGTTATAGTTTATAATATTGAATATTACATGGAAGTGAAAATCCAGAAGAGAGCATTCACGGTTTAGGTCTTTCGCGGAAATATCAGGAACGTAACCCCCACAAAACATGAGGGACCACTGTACCTGAGAGTGTGCCGGCACCAATGACCAGGGCCTCCACAATGGTGTCCAGAGTGAGAGATGGTCCGAGGCGAGCCATGCCAAAAGCAATGTTGGTATGGACCTCTATTTGATTAGAAGATGACAAGGCAAACTGTGCCAGAAGACTTGCCCTACTCAGGTCCACCAGCAGTAGAAAGAAAAATAAAGCATCCCTGAAAAGATAACCAAGCAGTAATAGTAAAAAAAAAACACTACAGTACTGTACTCTATTTACCAACGCACACACTTAAGACTATACAGTACAACTTTTCAATTCTCTCTCTCAAATTACAATCTTTTATGCATCAATTCCAATTAAAATAAAAGGGGAAGGCATTAACTTATGACATAACATACATACATGTCTAAAGAATTTGTTTTCAAAGGATACAAGATAATTTTTAATATTGTCAATATTAATGAGCAACTAGAATACTATTTTTTTTTCTAAATTTCAAAAGGATTCATGCCACCGGAAAAAAAATTCTGGTGACATCACACCTTTACTTGTTGGTAATGGTTATTGCTATTTGGTGCTGATGAATAAAACTGAAGGATGTTCCCCAAACAGAAGAATGATCCACTGGGGTTATACTGAGCACATGGGGGTAATTATGATTATCTTTTAATTACTTGGGGTGATTTTAAGCACTGATGAGCCATGTGGCATTGTTATGAGCACCTATAAATCACTTGGCATCATCAAGAGCACTGCAATGTCACTGAAAGAGTGATTACACTAAGATCACCTATGAGACACCTGGAGTTATGTATCATTTGGCATTCTGAGCACTTTTTATTCCCTTGCAATTATTATGAGCATCTACGAGTCACAAGACATCACTTATTACCTGTGAGTCAATTGGCATCATTATGATAACCTGTGAGACACCTGGAGTCATTATGAACTGTGAGACAGTTAAAGAACAGTTGGTGCTCCTTGTGGGACATTGAGGTTAATGCCTCTAAAGACAACTGATGTAATTAGTTGGTCAAAACTAATCATTCTTCCACATTCCCGTCTTTCCACTGGTAATGTTTCATTGGGGGACTTAAGGACTCAGTGACCTAGAAGATTCTTGGTGTGATTTTCAAATCTCAGTAAACACTACCACAAACAAGACCTGTTTTCTATGGTCTCTAATATTCATCAGTAAGTACAAAACTCAGCACCAGCTGAGTTTTCTGCTGCTGATCTCACTCAGTATATTCTTCTGTATTGAAGTTATCTGGATTGACTTTCAGCATCATCAAGTTGGTACAGTATATCGCACTTGCCTTATATAAATCCTAATCACCAATTTTTCCTATGTCTCCCCTGGCCTTAGCAACCAGTCACAATCACAAAGGTATGCACACTTAATGTTTTTGATCATGCACTACAGTCACTCAGGTGTTGCAATAGCCAATTCTCTCGTTGTTTCTCGTCTCTGGCAAACACTGATTTTGAGAAAGGCTAAAAAATCTTTACTGTTCCTTCCTTGAATTCTTAACCCTTACGCCCCAGATGACGAACAGGAACGCCCGACTGGTGCACCCCGGGTGATGTTCCAGAACGCGCGCCTTTTCTTGCCACTGTTTAAATGCTCAGTGTGGGTTACCAGGTTCCAGTGTGACTATTTGCCTGTCACGCCACAAGCTCGGCCACAGGGAAGCTTCCTGAACGTAATTACTGTACCTACTTTTGTTTGTTTCATTTCCATTGTTTGTCCATTTTATCATGTTGTATCAAAGTAATATTGCTAAAAGTAGTGTAGTTGTATAGTAGTGTAGTATTACTGGAAAATGATGCTATGGTTATGTTATGAATGTATTTATTTGTGGAATTATTATTATTTTATGCATTACTTGCTCTACCAAACACAAAGACAGCCTGGCGACCGACTGCGTGTGTTGCCGAGCACTTTTTTATGAAAAATAATGCAAATAAAATGTTCTAAATGAATTATTTATATGAAATAATTATTATGATCAGTAAATATGTGCATTACTGGCCATCCCAGACACAAAGGCAAGCATAAAATGACCACTAAGTGCGTAGTGACCACGAGCAACAGCTGTCAAAACAATACTGTCCCTTTATCTCCCTCACCACTGTGGCCACAGGGAAGTTTATAGAGGGTCAATATATAGTTTTCTTACTTATTTTTTATTGTTTTATCATTTAAAAAGATTAATACAGTAAACAGTAGTAAAATATTCTCTTACTTTTTTGTGTCATGAGCCATTTTTGTGGTCAATAATATTATCATCTTAATGAACCGAATGTGCAATTAATTTAATTTTAAATTTTTGGCCACTTACAGTAGCTAGTTTATTGTGCACCCCACTTACACAGACCCTTTGTGAACTCTACTCTGTAATCCTTTTGCGCTACTGCCCAAAATGTACAATGTACCGGTACATGGGTATGAAAGCAAATGATGTGCAATCATGTGATGGACCCGGGCAAAATCCTTTATATAATAAGCCTACAATTATAACAAAGACTGCAATAAAACATATAGCAGCTGCGATAAGATACTGTACATTAACATAGACAAATGCAGATCGAGTCAGCCAGCTGACCTGTCTGCTGTTGTCTTCTCATGTGTTCAAATACCTTCATCTGTATTCCCACTATTCACTGCTAAGTTTTCAGTTACATTATCAAAAAATGCTCAAACAAAATCATGTTTACTGTAAAAATATGAAGTACAGTGAACCCTCACTTTACGCCATTAATTCAACCCACAGCGGCCCGCGTAAAGTGAGAAACGCGTAAAGTGAACAACATAACATATGGGATTAATTGAAATAGAGACCGGGCCGACCCCCAAACTCCACTTTTTCAGACACAATACCTACGTTGTAGTAAAAATAACCTCTTAATTTTATGATGGTATGCACACACAATTAATAATTAGGAGAAATATCAATAATATTAATTTTTTTAACACTTACCTTAGTAGAAAAGATGGCTGGGCACACGGGGATGGGCGGTTGGTTCCGAGGCAGAGGGCAGATTATTGGCCCTCACCTGTATCACTTGTATCAATTGTATCACTATCCACCACAGAGGCTTGCAGGGCCTCTTTGTCAAACCCCTCAAAGTCCATAGAAATCCATATCCTCACTATCATTATCACTGACTTGGGCCGGCTGTGGTGGGTGGCGGGTAAAGAACTCGGTAATGTTTTGATGACTGGGTGACCTTGTGCGCACCCTGCTCGCGCCGCTCTCCGCGTAAAAGGGTACACACACCGCGGAAAGTGAGCATTCCGGTTTCGGCAAAGTACAGCGTAAACGTGGAAACGCGTAAAGTGGGACTGCGTAAAGCAAAGGTTGACTGTACAGGTTGACAACCCTTTATCCGAAATTCCAAAAACCGAAAAGCTCTGACAACCGAAAGTTTTTTGTGAAGCATTTTTTTTTTTTTTTTAACGGGGATTAGCCCACCCAGGCATAGATCACTGACCCACATCTGGGCCTGGGGCGTGAAAATGTAATAGTAATACTAATTATAAAACTAATAATAATTATAATAATAATAATTATTCATAGTAAATAAAAATTTTAATTAAAAAATACACCAAAATAAAATAATTATGATAACAATAACACTGCATTAATAAAAAAATAATAATAATAAAGAAATACAAGAATGAAAAAAAATAAAAAGTGAGTAACACGACCTAGACCTGTGAATTATTATTATTACCTGTATTATTATTATTATTATTAACTAACCATTCTGAAAACAGAAAAATTCCGAAATCCGAAATGCCTCTGGTCCCAAGGATTTCGGATAAGGGATTGTCAACCTGTACAAGAGGTGGGTAGCAGTGGTATAAATAGAAATGCTGCATCAGTCAAATCTAAAGCCTGGATCTGGGCCTGTATAGGCTAGCCTAGGTTAAGACTGCTGTCATGTGAGTAGGCCTAGGCATCCAAAAACTAGAAATATCTGAAAACCAAAATTCAATCGACATCAAGGTTTACAGATAAAGGATCCTTGGCCAGTATGTGTTCAGGCAATGTTAAAGTTCCATCCTACAGTTTATCAATCATTCTCTTTGTATTTTACCAAGAAGCACTTCTTGAACTTTCTCATTTCTCAATAACAACTTTGACTGCTAAACTGCCATCTAAAAAGATATTCATTCTATTGTTTGCAAGTTTTTACCCATCCCACTACTGTACAGTATACAGGTCCTTCTTATATGTATAGTCGGTATTACATCATTTTATATCTCTTTACCTACAATTTCCCTTGAGTACAGCATTCTAGCTACAGGTATTTCTTTATTAACCCTTACGCTGCAATTCCCACACTTATCATTTTATTCAGTCTATCGCCAGACGATCTTATTCAGCTTAAGGTAACCTCCCGCAACAAATGGGTTATAACGAGATCTTCGAATAAGCAGCAAATACTTTTCAAACAACTTTTGGTGACAAAGCAATCCTGTGATATTCAACTCCCCTTTCCAAACATAACAATACAGGTACAGCTCCTCCCCGACTTACGACCTACTTGACTTACGACCACCCGCACTTATGACCTGCCTCAGTCGTACCAAAATTGTCAAATTACGTATTTTCGAGTCCCAACGTCAGTACAGTGAGTTCTGCTATAACGCGTGTTTTGATAACGCGAATTTGCTCTAACGCGATTTATGAATTCGGAACAATATTTGTATAACGCGATCGCTTGTTTGCTATAACGCGATTTTTGCTTACTATTTCTCCAATTTTGTGGTATTAACTGTGAATATGGTAAAGAAGAATATCTCCAAAAAGCATTCTGATGATAGAATTCCCGGTGATTATCGTAAAAGAAAGGATATAACACTTGAAGAGAAGCTTGATGTTATCAACCTCAAAATCACCCTTCTCCCCCATCAAGTTACATTCATATTTTTTCAAGGTAAAGTGTTAAATTTACTGTATGATTTCATTATTAGATATGAATGTAACATTTATTTAGACTGTGCTATCCTTTGTGTTAGGCTAACTACTAAATTTTTTCGATTTCGAGTAATCTGCACCTAACCCTATTTTCTCCATAAGCCCTGTTATTTCTATTACGCGATTTTCTATAACACGATATTTTACAAGAACACAATTATCGCGTTATAGCAGAACTACCTGTACACAGACAAAATTTTTGTTTTAATTCACTTTAAAATGGCTGGCAAGCTTAAAAGTGAGAGTTTTGTGGTGCTGAGAAGAAAAAGAGACACCCATTTTAGATTTTCTATGTATTATTTAAGCATTTTCAACTTACGACCATTTCGACTTACGACCTGGATTTGGGTCCCTAACCCCGTCGTAAGTCGGGGAGGAGCTGTATTTAATTTACAAAAGTATATGTAAATCTTTCTTTTCTGTTGTAAAACATTTTAGCTTGCAATAATAAAAGGTGTTGACTCTTGCCACAAAACTACATAATTTGTATTCACTATCATCTATACTATCACTAATTTACAAAGAAGCAATAATACATTATATTACAGTGAACAACACAACAAAATCTCTGGTGTCACTGCAGACATGTAAGATACAGTATTCTAAACTGTATGCATAAAGGATTCAACAGTGCAGTACTTGGCATAGGTAAAATGATTCAACAGTACAGCAGTAGACAAAGGTAATCAATAAGACAGTGGAAAAATTTAACACTCACTTGAGATCAGATACATCACTGTCCAACAACTTGATGACAGAGCAACTGAACACAAAGCTTGAAAAGACAACAAACAGCCCAGCAATCCCTGAAAAGTATAACAACTTCAAAAAGAACTCCTAACTTATAATTTACAAGGATACATAAAGTATAGTATATTCCTACTATAGAGACATATAACAAGGGCTTGAGAGGTGCTCGATAAAAAGATTTTCAGTTCGTTGAACCTCACTCTCAAGATCCCCCCAAAAAATCCAACAATGCATAGTGCTAACCTCACAAACTTCTTCAATGCTTCTTCTACTTTATATAGACCTGTGGCTCAGAAATAAAGAAAATATAATATAAAATTATAAGAGAAATGAAGTGTATGGGTGTGTGTGTGTGTGGAAGCGTTGGGCTATAACTGTGTTGTCCGCTCCCTTCCCCCAATGTGACGTCATAGCACACACACAGCATAGCGTGGCAGCCACACATCTGTGAGTCAGTTGGTTGACTGCCTGGCTGAATGAACTGTCATGATGCCGAGATGATGGTTTAAGTGTGGAAGGAGCTTTTTATTTATTTTTTTACATTTTAAATATGTGCTACTGTATTTTATGATGTTATGTATAAATTTTATAGTTAATCATAGCAATTAACATTGTAGTTCATCTTCACTGTGCGCAGTATTCAAGTTCACGAATCTAGCAGATTTTGGAGGAATTTTTATTATTTAATTTTTGTGCCAGTGAGTTTAATCTGTAAGTTACCTGGACTCTCGATAACTAGGGTTCGACTAATGTCAACCCTCTGCACCCTTAGGTACTCTATACTGCAGCGTTCTTCAAAGTACAGGCCCCAAGTGGGTGGTGAGGTGCTGCTCACTGGGTCTACCCCCCCCCCCCACACACACACACACACACATAAAAATAATAAATACAGTATGCCCGGATAACTCGCAGATTTTTATTTTGTGGTTCTCTAATTTGTGGATGACACCCTGGATGTACCCAAGAATGTCTGTGGGTAGTTTTAAAGTTGCCAGCATTTTTGTGGCTGGGACAGAGAGCCATTCATTCTAGAGACAGTAATTTCCTTTACCTGTACTGTATTGTAAATATGTGTTTGTGGGAAGATTTTCCCATTACAGGTGTATTATATATTTGTATGTGTTTTGTGTGTACACACACACACATATATATACAATAAAAGTAAAAGAAATAATTGTCCTAAGGGTAAATACACAGAGAGCATATACAGTGGTCCCTCAATTAACGAACGGTCAAATTAACGAAATTTCGGTTAACGAATCAGCTCCCAAGAATTTTCAATTCCATTAATGAACAAAACTTCAATTAATGACAGCCTTACAAGAAACACTCTTTGTTGTGCGCATCAGCTGATCAGCTAGTCCGCCAATACAGTATAATTGGTTCTATGTTTACATTAGTTTCCAGTGGAGTAAATATCAAGAAAGTTGTGCTCTTGAATATTTTTGCATTTTTTATATTAAAATTACTGATCATTCTAATTTAGTTAACATATTGATAATATATACAGTACAGGGAACAGTTTTTGTGTGCCAATCAGCTGATCGTGGGGGATCGGTGGTAGATGCGGTACCGTTCTTGCCTCACAAGCGAGATGTCACGGGTTCGATTCCCGGGCCGGTGGAAGTTGTTTGGACTTACTTCCTAGCCCCCATTAGTCCCTGTTCACCTAGCAGTAAAGTAGGTACCTGGTGTAAATCGAAAATTGCGAATTCGTATTCAGGGAAAGTTGTTGGAGCTTCCAATAACTTCATGACATAAACCACTGACTCTTCAGGCTTCTACGCCCTTAACTCATGAGACATAAAGGCAAGCATGAACTTAGCATGCTTCCCTGTTGGGCGCTGTAAACGCTTCTGCGCTTCACCTTACACAAGGATGTAGGGGAGTGCCCAATAAATAATAATAATAAAAAAAAAAATCAGCTGATCAAATCACCCACCAACGCTTCTCAATTTAACTTTATTTACAATGAAGTGAACATCCAGTTTGTTGGTCTCTTGAATATTTTTGCCTTTTTACATTAAATTATTGGTCATTCTGAAATTTAGTTAACATATTGATAATATACTGTACAGTGCAGAAATTATTATGAAACATGAAGACGGCATTAGAACCAATGCACTCTGTAAAGAATATGGCATGTCATCATCGACTGCCTCTACAATCAGCTGTTTGATATGTAGACAAAGCTGCCGGGAATATGACATACACACCTCAAAGTAAGTTAAAATACAGTATTCTATTGTTTTTTATTTATTATTATTCGGTACAGTACAGTACTGTATTTAGTTCATATTTAATGTGTTTTTTAATTCTATTACTGGTATACAGTACTTTGTATGCATACCTTTTCTGTGAGTTGGAACCAATTACCCAATATTCCATTGAAATAATAGATTCAGTTAACGAAATTTTCAGTTAATGAACGACTCTGTGGAACCAATTGTGTTCGTTAATTGAGGACCACTGTGTATTTCTTTGTACACAAGTAAAAATGCCCCCGCCCCGGTCAGCAAATGTTATTCGTGGATTCGAGACCATTTTGAGAACCTAACCTCTGCGAATTTGAAGGGCATGCTGTAAATAAATAAATACAGTATACATAAGTAAAATAAAATTAATAATAATAATAATAATAATAATAGTAATTACAAAAAAGATAGCAGTAGTAACAGTATTAGGAGTAGAACTGTATACGGTAATAAAAATACAAAAATACTAAAGTGATAAGTAAAAATACATTGATGAATCAATAAATAAGAAAAAATTAACAAAATGACAATGTTACTAGTAACAGAGAGAGAGAGGAAAAAATGCATGGGGTGGGGAAAGGGGGGTGAGACGTGACTCGGATGTGTTCAGAAATTGACATTCGCCACAGTACAGAAAATTTTTCTCAGTTGTGTTTATACTGCTGGAGGGTGGAAGTAGTCCTTTCGTTAGCCATACCTTATACCACCCCTAAGAAAGAATGGATCGTTTTGTTATAAGAAAAAGCAAAGTACCTTCTCAGTCATAGATACAGTACATATGCACCTGGGAAAGATAAACAGTCAGAGAACTCAAAAGTTGGAAGTGTGGGGAGTTGGGGAGAAACCTCTTCCTCATTACCCTCCCCTTCTGAACCCTCTGCCAAAAAGAAAAATAAGTCATGGACAAGGCAGGAGAGTGATGATATTTTGAAGTACGGCTTTGCAAGGTGTGAACAGGATGAAAAAGAACCAAGGCCTCAGTGTGTGATTTGCAATGAAGTTCTTGCAAATGAAAGTTTGAAATCGTCCAAAATTGAAAAAAACGCATAGACAAAAAACACGCTTAAATCATTGACAAACCACTTGAGTAGAGTAAACCCTCGATAACTCAGCATTTAATAACTCAGAATTTCATATAGTGTAACTCGGCATTTATATGGTCTCAGAATGTACAGTATTATAGTATAACTCTGGAAATACCGATATTTTAAATTATCTGGGAAAATCTTGGCATATCTGGCCACCTGAGTCACCTACCATGCCTCTGTGTCACCTACCGTGCACCTGTGTCACCTACCGTGCACCTGTGTCACCTACCGTGCGCCTGAGTCACCTACCGTGCGCCTGTGTCACCTACCGTGCGCCTGTGTCACCTACCGTGCGCCTGTGTCACCTACCGTGCGCCTGAGTCACCTACCGTGCGCCTGTGTCACCTACCATGCACCTGTGTCACCTACCATGCCTCTGTGTCACCTACCATGCCTCTGTGTCACCTACCATGCCTCTGTGTCACCTACCATGCCTCTGTGTCACCTACCATGCCTCTGTGTCACCTACCATGCCTCTGTGTCACCTACCATGCCTCTGTGTCATCCACCTACCTATGCCTCTGTGTCACCTACCATGCCTCTGTGTCACTACCATGCTCTGTGTCACCTACCATGCTCTGTGTCACCTACCATGTATCTACCATGCCTCTGTGTCACTTACCATGCTCTGTGTCACCTACCATGCCTCTGTGTCACCTACCATGCCTCTGTGTCACCCACCATGCTCTGTGTCACCCTACCATGCCTCTGTGTCACCTACCATGCCTCTGTGTCACCTACCATGCCTCTGTGTCACCCTACTGCCTCTGTGTCACCTACACCCATGCCTCTGTGTCACCTACTATACCTCTGTGTCACCTACCATGCCTCTGTATCACCTACCATGCCTCTGTACCACCTACCATCCCTCTGTGTCACCTACTATACCTCTGTGTCACCTACTATACCTCTGTGTCACCTACTATACCTCTGTGTCACCTACCATGCCTCTGTATCACCTACTATATCTCTGTGTCACCTACCATGCCTCTGTATCACCTACCATGCATCTGTGTCACCTACTATACCTCTGTATCACCTACCATGCCTCTGTATCACCTACCATACCTCTGTATCACCTACCATGCCTCTGTATCACCTACCATGCCTCTGTATCACCTACTATACCTCTGTGTCACCTACCATGCCTCTGTATCACCTACTATACCTCTGTATCACCTACTATACCTCTGTGTCACCTACTATACCTCTGTGTCACCTACCATGCCTCTGTATCACCTACCATGCCTCTGTGTCACCTACTATACCTCTGTGTCACATACTCTACCTCTGTGTCACCTACTATACCTCTGTGTCACCTACGATACCTCTGTGTCACCTACTATACCTCTGTGTCACCTACCATGCCTCTGTATCACCTACCATGCCTCTGTCACCTACTATACCTCTGTGTCACCTACTATACCTCTGTGTCACCTACTATACCTCTGTGTCACCCTACACACACCTCATGTCCTACCCGCACCTGTGTGCCCCACGCACCTGTGTCCTACCACCACGCCTCTGTCACCTACTGCGCCTGTCACCTACCATGCCTCTGTGTCACCTACCATGCCTCCTGTGTCACCTACCATGCACCTGTGTCACCTCACGCCTCTGCTGTCACCTACCACGCACCTGTGTCACCTACCCTTTTATAATGTCACCTACCCCGCACCTGTGTCACCACGCCTCTGTGTCACCTACCTACCATGCACCTGTGTCACCTACCATGCACCTGTGTCACCTACCATGCACCTGTGTCACCTACCATGCCTCTGTGTCACCTACCATGCCTCTGTGTCACCTACCATGCCTCTGTGTCACCTACCATGCCTGTGTCACCTACCATGCCTCTGTGTCACCTGTGCATCTGTGTCACCTCTGTGTCATGCCTCCACCATGCCTGTGTCACCTACCATGCCTCTGTACCATGCCTACCATGCCTATCCTGTGTCACCTACCATACCTGTGTCACCTACCATGCACCTGTGTCACCTACCATGCACCTGTGTCACCTACCATGCCTCTGTGTCACCTACCATGCCTCTGTGTCACCTACCATGCCTCTGTCACCTACCATGCCTCTGTGTCACCTACCATGCCTCTGTGTCACCTACCATGCCTGTGTCACCTACCATGCCTCTGTATCACCTACCATGCCTCTGTGTCACCTACCATGCATCTGTGTCACCTACCATGCATCTGCACCTACTTTGATGCTTCATTCTTTGCCTACAGTGCTGGTAAGTGTTACTTCTATACATTTAGTAATTACGTGTACAATCAAAGACAAAAGTCGTGTCATGGTTTTGTCCGTAGATTAAATATAACTCGTGAAACATTATGAGAGCCCTACCACAAGGCAGAGCGCACCAAAAGTTTTAGCCCTTCGGCATATGTTTTCATCAAATTTCACTGCACGACTTTTGTCTTTCATTGTACAGTACACATATATGGGTCTGTATGTATATCATGTATGTACTCCATTTATATACATTATTTATTTAGTCTAGCTAGCAGCGTGTGGCAATGTATTTTCCATGTCCCATACGCTTAGATAATGGACCTGGCGACATCTGGAAGCTGCTAATGTATCACTTGCCACATGTCGCCTGAGGGCTCAGTTGACACTCAGTCAGAATAGGGAGAGCCGCCTCGCTTGTGTATCTCTGCTTGTCCAGCAAATAGAACCTACAAAACCTCTACAGGTGTTTGTGTTCGCTCCTGTAGATAGAACTTGGTACCCAGAACATGTACAGGGTCAATGAATTTTTATTGTTGTATTTTAGTAGGAGGGGGGAAAGTGCCTTGATAAGTCGGAATTTGGGATAACTCGGCAAGGCCAGAGCCCCATATGTGCCGAGTTATCGAGGGTTTACTGTACTTCCAGAGAAGAAAGAAGGAAATGAAGTTGTCAGTAAAAATTCTTAGTAAAGCAACCACTCTTAAAGACAAAGTGCAACTGGCATCATATTTAGTTGCTTATCGCACTGCAAAAGAAAAAGTGCCATATACTGTACTGTAATCAATTCACAAAATAACTACCCCCCACCCCCCCCCCAAAAAAAAATAATAAATAAAACTACCAATACTGTACTAATTAATTTTCTCCAGAGGTTAATACCATTACAGTGGGGAAAGTTAACCACATTATCAAGAGTACACACAATAAAGTATATTACCCCCCAATGAAATGGGAGAAACCTACCCACAATGTACTTGGAGCCAATCCTGTGAAGGTTGCGGAATTGGTGGTAGGTGTAGAGCAGGGCAGAACAACGGAGAATGGTCATCACCACAACATCCAGGCCTTGGTATTCCTGAGAAGAGAAGAGGAGATTAGTTAGTTACAGCAAAAGTCTTTTATCATCCCAGATTTATATACACACACACTACTACTACTAAAACAACTACTCCAACTTTCCCTTATAGCCATACCTTCGCCACACATTTCCTTATCTAACTATCCTAATACTGTACAAAAGTAGCTACCCTAGCTGAGTTAGTTAAGCCACAGACCTATGCGGCATTCAGTGACTGTTGCCTCATAGTCAATGTCTGCAACTGTAATTGGCTTAGGGACTGATGATCTTGTTCCCCTGAGGCAAAGCAATGCAGACCTAAGTACAGAGAAGGACAGGCAGCAACTCAACCAGGCTGCAATGTAGCTTCTGGGCTGCTGCTTTTGTTCAGATATCACCTCAGACAGTCTTGTGTAGAATCCTCTTACATTTGGTCCCATGTTCTTGTCGTTCTCATTCCTCCTGTGTACAGCCTCGAGAGACAGGTCACAATGACCTGCAGCCATGGGGTCGAATATCCTGACGTCAAAGAAGGCTCGCTGTCCTCGCGTTCAGAATTCTCAAGCACTGACGTCCACACGGGCTTCGTTGGAAATCCTGTGATAGAGATTCTCACCGTCTAAAGGAAGTAGGGTTGTTTCCACCATGATATCGTGGCAAACTTCCTTCAGCATATTTGCTGTGAGATCCCTTACTCCGTCAGCCTCATGCATACAAAGCCACTCTTCTTACACACCATGGCATGGTTGATGTCATAGGATGAGCCACACATGCATTGGGTAAGCATACCTTCTACTGGCCAACCATACCTTAGACCTAGAGCAATTGCATCTGTAAAATCTTCTTTGTTAAGGCTGAAGCCCTTTGCTCTTATCGGTAACAATGTTAACTGGTTTAAGGCGCCCACCTCCTGCACTATACCTGTAGCTACTTTTTTCTTAACTTCAATGCCAGTTGTTACATCAGTCGTTGAAGTTTATCACTTTGGATGTGCTGTCATTATATCATAATGGAAAGTCAAATCTTACGTAATTCGTTGGTATCCACCTCACTTGCTGCATTTTGAGCTATAATGTGCTCAGCGAGAGCTGCCGTTAACTTGGCAGAGTTTTGATGATTAGTGGCAGAAAGCTCCTCTCAAGTTCTCTGGATTAGTAATTCCCATTCCTCCCCATCTAGGTGATAGTGGAAGAAGTGACCTTCTGCTGGGGTTAAGTGGTGGCTTTTCACTACTGTTGGAATAAAATCAGGGATAGTGCGCATCAGGTAGTGCTTAATGTTCAGCATACCCTGTGTCAATACCCATCATCAGCATTGCAATCAACAATATCAAGCATACAACAATCCTCATATATTAAAAAGCAAACAATGATTCTCAAATAGTATTAAAAACAAAAAAGTAAACAACAATCACCCAATTCAAAAACAAAGTAAATAACAATCACAATCAAACAAAAATCATCATATGTTAAAAATTAACAAGTAAACACAGTACTCACAAATATGCACTTCATAAAAAATAAGAAAATAAAAAGTAAACAACAATCACCGCAGGAGTTTATGAAGTTTTAAGCACTTACGATGTTCGTAACCCGATAGTGAGTCTGGGCCCAGTACTATAACAATCACAGGCAAACAATAAAACACTCCTCACAAGCAAACAAACATGTGAACATTAATTACGATACTATGCATAATAAGCACAAATGTACAATAATGATTCAAATCATAATCATATGTGCATAATAACCAAATACTCTCATGTATAATATTCAAATAATAATTGCAAGTGCATAATAATCAAATAATAATCACTGCTGTATAATAATCGAACAATAATCACACATGTATAATAACAGATTAATAAAAACGTGCATAATACAGTGCAATCGAATAAAAATTACACGTGTATAATAATCGAATAATAATCACACGTGTATAATAATCGAGGCACCTGGGCACAGGTCATTGACCCACAAAGGGGCCTAGAGGGGGAAAAATATAAGAATACAGTAAAACGAAATTAGAAATAGAAAAGAAAAAGATTATAGCTCCTCCCCGACTTACGACGGGGTTAGGGACCCAAATCCAGGTAGTAAGTCGAAAAAGCTTAAATAATACATAGAAAATCTAAAATGGGTCTCTTTTTCTTCTCAGCACCACAAAACTCTCACTTTTAAGCTTGCCAGCCATTTCAAAGTGAATTACAAACGAAAATTTTGTCTGTGTACTGACGTTGGGACTCGAAAATACGTAACTTTTAAAAATTTTGGTACGACTGAGGCAGGTCGTAAGTGCGGGTGGTCGTAAGCCGAGTAGGTCATAAGTCGGGGAGGAGTTGTATATTAATCTACACCACTAAGATGCCGGAAAACCAGCTTTTTGAAATGAGACATTGTACGAATATGTTGCCAAGTTGCAAAGATAAAACTACATTATAGCATTTAGTAAATACAGTACTAAAATAAAATTAAAAATAAATATTACCCACTATGTAGTACTGGCCATAGTAAAAAAATCTTTTTTGCTTCTCCAAATTCGAAAAAATACAGTATAAATGCAAGACCTTCGTGCGTTCAAGGTGGTTTAATAAAGCCACAGGTGAAGATGTTCCTGGCTCGCGTCTTTTCACCCTGACTGTAAGTGAGAAATTTCCATGTCATCACATACTGTAAAGATCTCTACCGTTTGTAAAAAAAACTTTATTAAGGTTTCTAATTATATACACGAGGCGTGTTCCTGTTATCCGAGGATGAAGAAACAAAACACAGCAGATTTGTGCGTTTTGTGGAGCCGAAAAACTGACTCATAGGAGGATAGCTGTTAGCAGGTGTTGAAATCATTAAATGTTTTTGTTTTTTTATGGGGATTAGCCCACCCAGGCACAGGTCACTGACCCACATCAGGGCCTTGGGGAGGAATAATAATATAATAATAGTAATAATATAATAATAGTAATAATATAATAATAGTAATAATATAGTAATAGTAATAATAATAATAATAATAATAATAATAATAATAATAATAATAATAATAATAATAGTAAAAATAATAATAATAATAATAATAATAATAATAATAATAATAATAATAATAATAGTAATAATAGTAATAATTATAATAATAATAATAATAATAATAATAAATAAATTAATAAAAAATAAAATAATAATTTTAATAAAAAAATTAATAAAAAATTTAAATAATAATAATTAATAAAAAAATTAATAAACAATAAAATAATAATAATAATAACCATAAATAAATTAAAAAAATCAATAGTGAGAAATGATGTACAGTTTTAAGTTTAACAAACTTATTGACAAAGCTTGTAGTACAGTTTGCCTATTCTGAGTAATTCAGTCAGGTCTTGACACTGAGGGTGGTATCACTTCTCACTACCACGCAGGACAAAGGCTCATACACAAAGTAATACATCATATTCATTAACAGCTATATATGTATAGAGGTCAGATTCATGTGGGTGATGTCACTGTTCACTGCCATGCAGGACAGAGGTTCGTACACAAAGAGATGCATCATATTCAATGACAGTACATATACATATATACACACACACACATACATATACTGTATATACATATATACACATACATACATATATAAACATATACATATATATACACATATACATACATACATACATACATACACATAAGAGCCCGCACCGATAGATACTGTATAAGAACAGCACCATCCCATCTATTGTTAAAATAATAAACAACTCCTGATTTATGTACTGCACAGCCCTGTAAATGTATTCAATGCATATTATATCATTACGTCTAAATCAAATGTAAGTCTGTAAATTTTCAGCCACCGGCTGCAACTCTATTAATAAACCGTTTATTATTACTGTATTATTATTATTATTATTATTATTATTATTACAGCTAGACCCCGACTTACAACTGCTTCGACTTACGACCGTCGGGACTTACAACCGCCGCAGTTGTGACCATTTTTTTTTCTTTTTTTTTCTTCAAATGACACGCATTTTCTATACCGAAACGTTTCCAGTTAATGTAGTCTCCATGTATAATTAGAAAATTATGGGGGCCCCATGTGCATTCAGCAGACTACATTAAAGGTAAGTGCTCAGTCACACTGTATCCATTCCTTATTATTTATTACTTTCACTGTACTGTATCCATTCCTCATTATTTATTACTTTTACTGTACTGTATTTCATTGTAGATTTTTTATTATTATTATTTTTCTTTTATCTATGTCGGACTTACGACCTGTATTTGGGTCCCTAACCCCGTCGTAAGTCGGGGTCTAGCTGTACTATTATTACACACACACATACACATACATAGGTCAGATTCATGTGGGTAATGTCACTCTTCACTGCCATACAGGACAGAGGTTCGTGCACAAAGAAGGAAATACTGTACATCATATTCATTAGCAGTATACTGTATATAGGTCAGTGGTTCACATACATTTGAGTCAAATTCTAATTGAAGACTAATCAGTGTGGGCTAGCAAATTTGGGATAAACAGCAAGAATGTCCTCAAGCACCCCCGATTCAATGTAGTAATTACATAGTTCAAGATATAATAAGTCAGGTGGCCTGAAGTCTTTGACAGTGTCACATTCAATAATATAGTGTTCAAGTGTATGCTTTAGAGGTTTATCACAAAGTTTACATGCTGAGTGTTCCGGTATGGGTACAGCGTTACAAACTTGCCAGATGTGTCTGTATCCTAGCCTAATTCTGGCCACGACTCCATCACATTGTCTGGTTCTGTCCTTATGCTGGCCATACCGCAACCTCTTGTCACAAAATTTGTCATATTTACTAATGCTACACCTGCCAGGTCTCTCTGCATTTCTCACTTCTTCTAGATCAGAGTTCATGATTCTGACTTGAATGTTTTTAATTGCAGCATTGGACAGGCCAAGGTACGGTCAACATTTTCTTTTCTCATTGGCCAGTCTATCAGCGATTAACTGATTCCAACATGGGACGGAATCCACACAAAAT